CAAAATGTTGCTGGTTTGATTCCTGGTCAGGGCACACGCCTGGATTGATGGTTCAGTCCTTGGTCAGGGCTCACACAAGAGGCAACTGATTGATGTTTGTCTCTGACATTGGTGTTTCTCTCCATCTCTTTCTTTCTTCCCCTCTCTCTAAAAATAAATAAAATCTAAAAAAAAAACCTTACAATGAGATGCCACGTCACACCTGTTAGAATGGCTGTTATCAACGAGACAGGCAAAAAGAAGCAGGAGAGACTGTGGAGGAAAAGGAACCCTCATTCACTACTGGTGGGAATGTAAACTGGTACAGCAACTATGGAAAACAGTCTGGTGGTTCCTCAAAAAATTAAGAATAGAGTTACCACATGATCCAGCAATCCCTCTCCTGGGTATCTATTGAAAAACTCAAAAACACGCATCCATAAAGACATGTACCCCTCTATGTTCACTGCAGCATTATTTGCCGTGGCCAAGACATGGAGAAAACCAAAGTGTTCTTAGATAGAGGACTGGATAAAGAAGATGGGGTATCATGTACCCCTGAATAGTATGGAATACTACTCAGCCATAAGAAATGGTGAAATACTGCCATTTGTGACAACACAGATGGACCTTGAGAATATCGTGCTAAGCAAAATAAGTTAGTAAAAAAAAACTAAGAACCACATGATTTCACTCATATGTGGGATATAAAACTGAAACATACATATAGACAACAGTATGGTGATTGCCAGAAAGAAGGGGGCGGAGGTCATTGTAAATGGTATAGCAGGCCAAATGTGATGGAAGATTATCTGACTTTGGTGGTGGGCACACACTTCAATATACCAATAATATATCTGAAATGTACACATGAAATCTATATAATCTTATTGAACTATCACGTCAATATATTTAATTAAAAATAAAGTAAAAACTTTTTAGGATAAGTATGTCCCTTGCAAAGTTTCAGACATGCTTGTACTAAAAAGCATATTTGCTCTTTATCTAAAATCTTTTTTAAAATGCAACATTTGTAAAGTGCAATAAAGCAAAGTACAATAAAACAACATATGTCTGTATACAAAATTTAAAAACCTATCTTATTTTAGCACTGCATGAGTAGTTCAGTTGGTTGGAATGTCATTCCATAAACCAAAATGATGCGAATTCAATTTCCAGTCAGAGCACATACCTAGTTTATGGGTTCAATCCTTATATGGGGTGTCTATGAGAGGAAAACCAATTGATGCTTTTCTGTCACACCTATTTTTTCTCTATTCTGTTCTCTCTCTAAAATCAATAATAAAAAAGTACACATTGGAGAAAATGGTGGTGAAGTAGGTGGGAGCTGAGCCCATTTGCTTGTGCACCCAACTGGGACACTTAGCTGATCTTCCAAAAAAACAAAGTGAACAGCCCACAGAATCTTAGCTGATTTCAAGTTTGGAAACCAAAGTGTACAGAGGATGTTTCAAAATGGGTGGTAAGGAATTTTTATAGGCCAACTGGGAAGGTCCCCTGGTGTAGTGCCAGAAACTGTGGCTGCCATGGTGACATCAGAGGAGAGTCAGGTCAATGATAGCAGCTTAACAACGCCCTCCCCTCCCAGCCCTCCCCTCCCAGAGTGGGCAATTTGCAGATCTGCACCAGGAGCAACTTGTTCCTCTAGTTCTTGTAGATGTAGGGTTATATAATTTATTTGAAATGTTTCTGTCTTTTTTTTTTAAGATTTTATTTATTTTTTGACAGAAGGGAAGGGAGGGAGGAAGAGAGGGAAACATCAAAGTGTGGTTGCTTCTTGTGCACTCTCTATTGGGGACCTGGCTGCAACCCAGGCATGTGCCCTGATCTGGGAATCGAACCAGTGACCCTTTGGTTTTCAGGCTGGCACTCAATCTGCTGAACCACACCAGGCAGGGTGAAATGTTTGTATCTTTTGTAGGTAGGCCTGTATCACTATGAACTTCCCTCTCAGGACTGCCTTTGCTGTGTTCCATAAGTTTTGGACTGTTGTGAGTTCATTTTCATTTGTTTCCAGAAACTTTTTGATATCTTCCTTGATCTCATTCTTAACTCATTCATTGTTTAATTTCATGGTATTCAATCTCCATGAATTTGAGTGTTTTTGAGTTTTTCTTTGAGGTTGATTTCTAGTTTTAGGGCTTTGTGGTCCGAGGAAATGCTTGATATGATATCAAGTTTCTTGAATTTGTGGTCCCTATTATGTAGTCTATCTTTGAAATTGTTCCATGTGCATTTGAAAAGAATGTGTATTTGGCTTCTTTGGGATGAAAGGTTTTATATATATAATCAGTTAAGTGCATTTTATTTAGGACATTGTTCAATGCTGCAATATCCTTGTTGATAATTTGTTTGTAAGATCTGTCCATTTTTGACAGTGGAGTGTTAAAATCCCCTAGTGTACATGTGTTGCTGTCAATATCTTTCTTGAAGTCCTCAAAGATTCTGCTTATATATTTGGGTGCTCCTATGTTGGATGCATATATGTTTACAATGTTTATGTCTTCTCGATGAATTTTTCCCTTGAGTATTATGAAGTGTCTTTCTGGGTCTCTTTTTATGGCCTTTGTTTTGAAGTCTGTTTTGTATGATATAATTATTGCTAGCCTGGCTTTTTTCCCCCGTCAATTTTCTTGGAATATTTTTTTCCAGCCTTTCACTTTCAGTCTGTGTAAGTCTTTTTTTCTGATGTGGGTCTCTTGTAGGCAGCATATATGTGGGTCGTGTTTCCTCATCTACTTAGCTACCCTATGTCTTTTGATTGGAGCATGTAACCCACTTACATTTAAAGTTATTATTGATAGGTAGTTATCCATCTCCCCTCCCTTTGTACTTGTGTTCCTCTCTCTCACTCTTTTTCTTCCCCTTCTTGAAGCAATTCCTTTAGCATATATTGCAGTGCTAGTTTGTTGGAAGTGTATTCTTTCAGCCTTCTTTTGTCTGGGAAGTTCCTTATTTCACCTTCCATTTTAAATGAGGGCCTTGCTGGGTAGAGTAGTCTTGGTTGCAGGTCTTTGGTTCTCATTACTTGGAATATTTCTTGCCATTCCCTTCTGGCTTGGAGTATTTTCATTGAGAAGTCAGCTACTAGGCTTATCAGGGCTCCCTTGTATGTTACTTCCTGTTTCTCCCTTGTTGCCTTTAAGATTCTCTTTGTCTTGGAATTTTGCCATTTTAATTATGATGTGTCTTGAAGTGGGCCTCTTTGGGTTCCTCTTGATTGAGATCCTCTGTGACTCCTGTATTTGTATGACTTTTTCTCTCATCAAACTAGGGAAGTTTTCCATCATTACTTTTTCAAACAGGCTTTCTTTCCCTTGCTCTTCTCCTTCTGGTATCCCTATTATACAGATATTATTATGTTTCATATTGTCCTGCAGTTCTCTTAACCCCTCTTTGGATTTTTTTTTTAGTCTTTTTTTCTTTTCTTACTCTTTCTGGGAGTCTTTTCCTACCTTGTTCTTCAGCTTGCTGATTCAATCCTCTGCTTCATCTAGCCTGATTTTGATTCCTTCTACCATTTTCTTTCAGAAGTTATATTGTTTATTTCCTCTTGGCTCTTGTTGATAGTTTCTATGTCCTTCTTCATGTTGATATAGTTTGCAGTGAATTCCTCATAGTTTCCCTGCAGTTTTTTGGTGAGCTCATTGCGCTTCCTTAAGGGCATTGTTTTGAACTCAGTATCTGATAGTTGACTTGCCTCTATTTCATTTAGCATTCTTCCTGAGGATTCCTCCTTTTCTTTCATTTAGGGTTTGTTTCTTTGTCTTCCCATTATTTGTGAGATCCTTCTTGTTTGCCTCTGCTTCTTAAATTGATCTGTTTTGACTCCCTGACTTTGTGGTGTGAACTTCTATGGTAGGAGACCTGTGAAATTCAGTGGTGCAGTCTCCTTTATCTCCTGAACTTGATGCTATTAGGAAGCTTTTTATGCTGTTTATGTTGGCTCTCTGCATGTAACTGAGTTTTGATTGTTGTTGGGTCATTCTTTGGTGGGACCTTCCCTCCAGCTGGTTGACTGAGGGTCACTCTGCTCACCACAACTTATATGCTGTTGTGCAGGTGCAGTCAGTTAGTGCCGAAGCTGATTCTTCTGTTTGTCCAAAGTTATAAGGACAGAATTCTCTCTCACTATTGTTCACTTGTTTGTTCCAAGTGATTTCTCCACAATTTAGTTGTAATTCCATATTGGTCCTGGGAGGAGGTTAGTGTGTCTTCCATTCATTCCTCTGCCGTCTTGCTTCCCATGCCAACAGTATGAAATTTCCTTTAAAAACTAAAGACAGAACTGCCTTTTGAGCCAGAAATCCCACTGCTGGGACTATACCCTAAGAATCCTGAAATCACTGCAAAAGAACCTATGGACCCTAATGTTCATAGCAGCACAATTTACAATAGCCAAGTGTTGGAAACAGCCTAAGTGTCCATCAGTAAGTGAGTGGATCAAAAAACTGTGGTGTATTTACACAATTGAATACTAGTCAGCAGAAAGAAAGAAGGAACTTCTACTATTCAAAACAGCATGGGTGGAACTGGAGAGCATTATGCTAAGTAAAGTAAGCCAGGCAGTGAAAGACAAATACCATATGATCTCACCTATAAGTGAAACTTAACAACAACAAAAATGAGCAAAATAGAACCAGAGACTCGTAAATAAAGAATAAACTGACAATGACCAGAGGTGAGGGGAGAGGGAGATAATGGAGGAAAGAAGGGGAAGGGGCAAGCAAAGGGACATGAATAGGGGATTCATGGGCATGAACAATGGGGGGGAACTGACACTGGGAGTTCGGGGGGTGTGGGCTAGGGAAGATCAATGGGGAAAAATGAGGGACAACTGTAACTGAACAACAATAAATAAAATAAATATCCTTGGGTGGAGGTTTTTTTTCAGTACTCCACATTCCACTCTTTAATAAGGCATTTTGCACTTATATGCATCAATGAAAATTTGAAACAAAAAGAACTTTAGTCAAACTTCTCTTCTTTTTCCAGCTTTATTAAATAGTTTAAAATTACATTTCTGTTATCTAGGACTTAAGTTGCATTTTCCATGACTTTTAAAACTGATTACATCAAATGAAACACAATTGTCTAAGTGATATAGTATACAAAACTAACATCTTGATTTCTGTGAAAATGCATTTCTCTGCAATTTCTGAACAACTCCAAATTATTCTTACTCTGAACATGGATGTTTACTCATAAAAGCCATAGATAGGTTTTAGATTTCATCTTTGTCAGAAAAATGTGTTCTAAACCTTTGTCACTTTCATATCAAGTAGCAACACCAAGTTATTCCTGTTTAGGCTTTTATTCCAATTTTCTTCACAGATGTTAAACACACATTTACCTTTTTATTTTGTTTACTCGCAATCACCTGTATGATCTATGTAGGGCCTGATACAGATGTTAATTGATGTTATTTAACAGATATTGAGGTCAGACAATCCAAGGTCATCATTATGCTAAAATTAAAGTTATTTATGGAAGCTCACAGACACTTTCAGAATTGGTTTTTGCTTTCTACGTGGGAACATATTCAAGAAACCCAGAATGGGCTTACTGGTCTGATTCAACTCTTCACATTCATCAATTCCTATTCACCAGTGGCAATGAAGGGGAGTTCTTTAACAAAGCATTATATATAACATCTTTACCAAACTAAACATAACTTTATTTTGTAGTTAAATGCAGAAAGTCAATTTTTCCCACCCCTTCCTCCTTTTACATGGCAAGTAAAGCTCACTGGCGTGGGAGTAGCCTCTATCTGCCAACCTTTGGCCAGTGAAGAGGATCCAGAAAAAATAATACAATGATCAATCAGAAAAAGGACAGGTGACAAAGGAAAATAATTAAGCTGTGGCCTCAACTGTGCATTCTTGTGCAAGGTGTCCTGATTCACCACAGCAGAAACAGTTGACTTCGCTTGTCTTGCCGCAGTTGATGGCCACATGACCAGTTTCACCACACCTATAGCACTTTACTATGGCACAGTCTTTTTGAATATGTCCAAATTCCCCACAAGAATAGCACTTCTGCTCATCTGCATGGTCACAGTCATGAGCCAGATGGCCTGGTTTGCCACAGTTGTAGCAGCATTGCTCTCGCTTAGGCTCCTTGCTGTCCTTGGCAATGTGGCCACCTTGACTGCAGTTATGGCAGGCATCCTCCTGAAGATCACAGTTCTTCGCAAGATGACCAGACTCACCGCCGCAATAACAGATATCTTCAGCATCTGAGCTGGCAGGCAGCGACACAGGCAAAGTGAGTGGCTCTCATGGCATCAGCTCTTTGTTTTCAGGAGTGTGCTTGCCTGCACCACACGTGGGTCTGCACACGGCCCTGCATACTGAGACTTTTTAAATGTATCCTATTTTATTATTTATTTATCTTTAGAAGGGAAGGGAAGGAGAGAGGGAGGCAAATATCAAGGTATGGTTGCCTCTCATGAGTCCCCTGCTGGGAACTGGCCTGCAACCCAGGCATGTGCCCTGACGGGGAATTGAACCGTGATCTTTTGCTTCACAGGCTCGAGCTCAATCCACTGAGCCACACCAGCCAGGGCATAAATGTATCCTATTTTAAATGAGAACTTTCTGATAAATATTTTACAAAAGAGGTTAAACTGGTATAAAACCATTTAAGGACACTGTCAGTCCAATATGAACGAGTCGAATATGATTTTTTAAACTAAACTATCTCTTTGAAGATTTAAAGCAATAGCTAGGTTGGAGAGGGACAGTTTAGTTTCTCTGTTGTTTCTCCTCCACGTCAGGGCAAATTAGTTGTGGCGAGGCCTACTTTCTTCTGAATCTGATGGAAAAGTGGGTGGATGACAAATGAAAACACCATGAAAAGTGCAATACTGGCTAAAACACCAATAATATTTCTATTAGCCTCATACAGGTGTATGAGGTCTATCCGGGAAAAGCCCAGCCATTGTTAATATAACAAGAACAATTTGTGTGACATCCATGTAACCTGGCAGGAAAGTGGAGTGGACTGGAATGTGCATGAGTGAACAGTAAAAATGTCACCATACTAGTCAGTGGGAGCAGCAGATGCCATTGAGTGAGCATATGCACTGTGTGGTCATCACATTCAAAATGACTGAGCAAGTAGAGCGATAAATCTGCATCAAATTTTGTGTTAAGCTTGAACATTCCTCCACGAAAACTACAGCGAGCCCTCACCTATCGCAGGAGTTACATTCCAGAGACCCTTGCAATAGGTGAAAATCCACAAAGTAGCAGCGTTATATTTATTTTATTTATATATATTTTAAGGCTTTATAAACCCTTCCTGCACTCCTATAAACCTTTCTCACTTTCTTATTAACCTTTCCCACACTCTTATAAACACTTTATATGCTCTTAAACACATTCTACACTCTTAAACCTATGTAATTTTAACAACATATAAAATTCTATATGGGTACTCACCAGTGAAGTACAGCAGGTTTAAGCCCACTGTATTGTGGGCTTAAACCCACAATACAGTGAAGCTGCAATAAGTGAACCGCAATATAGCAAGGGGATGACTGTATTTCACTTAGCGTAGCCTTCATTCTTTTCATCAAATTTGTGACCAAATTCAACCAATTCTGTGAGCATCCTGATTACCAGTGTTTTGAACTGTGCATCTCATAGGTTGGCTATCTCTTCATCGCTTACTTGTATTTTTTCTGGAGCTTTGATCTGTTCTTTTGTTTGGGCCATTTTTTTTTGTCTTGATGTGCCTGTTACATAGTGAAGGGTGGAGCCTTAGGTGTTCATCAGAGTGGGGCAACCCCCATCACCGGGCTGTGATGCCATATGTTGAGGAGAGGTCCAAGAGGGAACAATGGCGATTGCTCTACTCTCTGCTGGATTTCAGTCACTTCCCCAGCTTCCCCCAAGCAACTTGGGCCCTTCTGGTGCTGATTCCCATGTGGGTGGGTTTGTGTCCATTCTAGGACCCTGTGGGTCTCTCCAACAAACTCTCCTGTGAGGCTGGGAGTTTCTCCCAGCACCTCAACCCCCACAAGTGTTTTCAACTGGTGTTTTGAGACTTTATTTCCCCAAGCTGGGACCCTGGATTGCACAGTCTGTCTCGCTCCCCAGTTTCGCCTGGTTTATCTGCACACCAATGTGGGACCGCCTGGTCCGCTAGCTGCCTTGTGCACTGTTCCCCTCCACAATCCGTCATCTCGCTGGGCCTGCCAGCCACCACTTTGCTGTGACCCCTCTCTGCCCAGCCGACGAACTCCGTCCCTCCTACCGGTCTGGATGAATGTGTCTACTTTAACTCCTTGGTTGTCGGACTTCCACACAGTTCAATTTTCTGTCAGTACTGGTTGTTTTTCGTTTCTAAACTGTTGTTGTCCTTATTTTGGTTGTGTGAGGAGGCACAGTGTATCTACCTATGCCTCCATCTTGGCCGGAAGTCTATTTATTTATTTTTATAGAAAGGGAAAGAGAGGGAGAAAGAGAGGGAGAGAAACATCAATGTGTGGTTGTCCCTTGGGTGCCCTCCACTGGGGACCTGGCCCACAACCCAGGCATGTGCCCTGACTAGGTATTGAACCAGTGATCCTTTGGTTTGCAGGCCAGTACACAATCCACTGAGCCACACTAGCCAGGGCTGTAGAAGAGATTTTTAAATTACTAGAGGCAGTGAATTAACCAAACCAGATTGTCATTATGCACTGCCCAAGACACCGGAAGAGGAGTTCCCAGACAAGTCACTGAAACCAAAATACTGATTAAGCATCAAGACAAGGTGCCTGAGAGCCACCACTTCTTGGGGCTTTAATCCCCCATGTGGACTTGTCAGAACTTAAGCCCTGCTACACAGAACAAGAAGAATGGGCCCATGAATGAGCATTCTCTAACATTGACCATAATTCTATATGGAAGGTCAACACTTATGGCATATCCCATCCTCAAACACCCTCATGAAGGGAGCAGTTATGGATGGAACCTCATTAGACACATTTGAAGGGCCATCGTTTATAATGGACCATCCAGAGGATCACCCAAGCTTGTGAGATATGTGCCCAAAACAATTGTAAGACAGAACATTTTCCAACAAGAAAGGGGGTACAATATAAAGGGATATGCCCATTTGAAGACTGGCAAGTTGACTTTACACAGATGCCTGAAACCACAGGAAATTTTAAATTTTTATTAGTCTTCGTAGACACTCATTTTGAATGGTAGAGGCATACCCCCTAGAACTGAGAAGGCAACTGAAGTAGCAAACTTCTACTCAAAGAAATAATCCCTAGGTTTGGACTACCTTACATCATTCAAAGTGACAGTGGACTGTCATTCACTTCTGAAATCTCCCAGAAGATACGACAGGCACTACAGATTCGATGGAAATTATATGCATCTTGGAGATCCCAATCTACAAGGAAAACTAAGAAAATGAATCACACAATAAAGAATACCCTGGTGAAAATATGCCAGGAAACACTTTTAAAGTGGATCAGCACTTCCTATTGACTTGCTCTGGATTAGGGTAGCACCCTGAAGTAGGCTTAAATTAAGCCACTTTGAAATAGTTTATGGGAGACCCTTACAAGATTCTGTTTTAGAAATACCCTTTTTAGATTTAGAACGTGAATCAAAAATTTAAAAAAGCACAATATTAGGGCAAGGACTAACAGCTTTGCACAAGTTTGCTCACTGCAGCTGTCTACTCATCTGATGAGTCCTTATGCTCATTCCACAGGAGACTGAATCTTTCTAAAGACCTGGAAGACTCAAGGTCCTCAACAGCAGTTAGCTAAGCAATGGACCAACCCCTATGACATACTGCTAACAACACACTCTTCCCTAAGCTCACAGGAACCAAGCCTCAGATCCACCACACATGGATAAAGGAGGCACTACCTGAGGAAGACTTGGATCTTGCTGCTGCTGTTGATTTTGAAAGAGAAAGCAGAACTTGAACTCCTGAAGAAGATTTAAAATTCTTCTTTTGGAAAGGTAAAGTGCCTCCCAAATCTAAATGACAATGTTACTTTTTGTTTTATTCTGCATTTCCCAGACAATGGTTTCCTTGGCAAATTTATCCTGCTGTTGGGTATACCATCCAAAGACCCACTCAGGATTAGATCATGGGGATCCTTTATTGTCTCTAGCTTCTGAATTTGCTACAATTTTCCCTATGCTACTAGCCATACTACTAACTAAATAGATGATTGTTTGTATACCAAGAGTTCTCACTTTGGAAGCCCATTTGAAATACCATTTCTTGAAACATGAAGCAGTCTACCAGCTTGACTTGTTCAGCAGTGCCATCCCCTAGACACTGAGTAAGCCACCTTCCAAAACAGCAATCCTTCTCCCTTGCATAAAGGCTTTCCTCCATTCCTGACCTCCTTCCTTTACTAGAGGAATAATCTCTGGACCCAGGGATAGGTAAGACCATTCAGTGTAAGAGCCTCCCCCTGCTGCCTTATTGGCCAATAGGGAAGACTCCCCACTATTCCCAGTGACTATCTACAGTAACAGCATCAGTCTTTGAAATTCCAATGTTTCTTTTATATGAAAGACCTTGGGGTTTTAGGATAACACAAAATTGATATGGTAACATTGTGACTCACAAAAGACTCCCTTAAGAGAACAACCGTTTCAGACCCCAGATGGGTATATTATTATTCCATTGTATATAGAATCAGCCAGACCAAATCTAAAGTCTTGAACTCCATTTATTGACACCTAGTGTTTTTACCTGAAGCTTCTGGAAACTACCATTCGAAGAACAATGGAAAGAACTGAGGATATTTAGACTGAAGAGGTCAACTGGATTGTGAAAGTGAAAAGTTTTGAAGGTTTTCCTATAGGCACTGAGGGCTCTTTTGAGTTTTGGGGTGGGAAATCACATGGAGAAATAATTCTTTATGAAATTTGGCTTTGTGACTGGGTTGGTAGAGAACAGGAAAGATGTTGCTGAGTTAGTACACAATGACTCATAAGAGACATGAATGTGTCCATCAGTAGTGGGGGCTAAAGGAAAAAGAGTTGGTCAGAATAATGAGTTAGACCAAAAATATTACTTCAAAATGAACTTAATAAAGTAGTGTTTTGCAGATAATGAAAGACAGTGAATTGGCTGACAAGAGGCGGAACGGAACAACAAAGGAGGTTACAATAAGCAAATTGTATGTGGGGAGACAGCAGAGAGATGCCAATCATCTGTTTAGAGTAATCTGAATGAGGTTTCTGAGAAGGTGCAGTACAGGGAACCATTCTGTGTGGCAGTGGCGAATGTAGCCCAACCCGATTCAGAAAAAAAGTGGGGAGTGAGTTGGCACACAGGAGCCTACGGATCGGTTTTCCTGTGGGGAATCAGGCCTGCATTGTACCCAGGCTGCTTTGAGGCTTGCTTTTTGCTAAAACTCCCTCACCCCAAATTGAAGCAGCAAATATTTACTGCATATCTTTAAAGTGACTTCCTAAAGTCTGCGCTAAACCTCCCAAGTATGGAGTGTAACCAGTTCAACCACTTTTCCCCTTGATTTGCAAACATCCTTTTCTTTGAAGTAATTAACAACATTCTTTCCTTTGTTATCTGTAAAAGGTAATCACCTAAAGCAAACCTGTGCATAGTAAATTAGGACCATCCTTGGTGTAATGTACCCAGAAAAGCAATAAAAGCCTGTCCAGGCAGGGGTTGGGGCCCTTTCTCACTTAGAGAGCAGCCAAGCCGTCCCTTTTCACCATAGGACTTCTGTAGTCCATGTAAATTTGTTCATTGCAGCCACAACACACAGACCTTGCTGGCTGGAGTCCACATCAGTGAGATAAGAGGTAGAAGCTCTTAAATTTGGTACTGAGAGGAACAAAACCTTGTGCCTCCCGATGCCCATGATCTTTTTTGGTCCCACATTGGCAGAGAAGGGCTAAAGGGAGCTACCTCCAGATGTTCTGTTCATTCTGTTACTGTTGCATGTCTTGAGCAGATAGGAGAGATCGTTTCCATTTCCATACTCTCCTCATCCTTCCTCTCGCAGTGCGTCCTTGCAGCACGTCCTTGCAGATAAACATAAACAATAAAAATTTACTACATAGGTGAGTTTCCTTTAAATCATGCCCATATATTTCAGAAAGCCTTCAGACTGACTTAGAATGAGAGCAGCAGTTCTTAAACCAGGGGGTGATTTCCACCCCACTCCTTTTCCTAACAGGGGACATTTTGGGTTGTCACTGCTGGGGCAAAGGGTGCTACTGGTATAAAGTGAGTTGAGCTAGGGATGCTTCTAAATATGCTATAATGCACAGAATAGCACCTTAATACAAATAATTATTCAGCCCCAAATGTCTAGAGCACTAAGAATGGGAAATCTGAACATTCTTTATACCAGAGGTGTAAAACTGGGCAGTCTGTATCAGAAGCATCTTCGAGCCACCAGACCTTTTTCATCCTACCCATGGGTTGAATTGTTCATGGTAAAGAGTCTCTACTGACTTTCTTGACCTTTGACCTTTTTTGTGCTAAAGCTTAGCAAAATCAGCAGAGGTTGGTTTTCCCATTTTCTTTACTCAGTGTACATGATTTCTACTTCAAAAAAAGTAGGTACTCCAGGGTGACTATGGCCTTAGCTCGGGCCTGGCAGTTCATCTTCATTTCATAGAGACTGATAGTAGCATATGTGCAAGGCCAAACTTTTAAACTCACAGGGAAAAATATCCTGGATATTTCTTTCCTCAACCATTCCTGATCTTTCATCCAAAAATGTGTTCTGAAGAATTGAGGATTAGTAAAATCAGTCATGGCCATGTAGTTTCTCAGCCTCATTACTGCAGCTAACCCTCCTCCAAGAAAAGCATTCTTACCCCATTCCTGCCATTTATGACTTTTCTCAAATTCCAAATTGAAGATTAGAGTATCACATTGCATCAGAAACATTTTCACATGATGAAGCAAGCCTTGTTGACCCCCCCCCAAAATATCACAAAGTTAGGGGGGAAATAAAAGGACTAAATAAGAATTTAGTGTCTTGAGGGCAGTGATTTCTTATCTTTGTAATTCTAGTGTCTAGTAGAGTGCCAGGCACATAATAGGTGTCTAAGAAATGTCTGTCTAGTGAATGAACAGAACTTGTTGAGCCAAGGCAAAGAGACACTAAAGTTTCCATAGACTTTCTAAAAATGTGAATAGCCTAAAATCTCAGAGAGACGCTAAACCATAGTAATAGAGTTTGGGCTTCCAGGATGATAGTAGGATAGCACTTACTACCGTTGGGTCGGCATTTTAGGATTACCACACAGACAACAGCACAGAGAACAGCACAGGGAACAAGCCCAGATGCAATTGTGGTGGTCCAAGTCTGGGGCTTATCAGTAAAAGGAGGGGCAGTTGGCTCATCTGTGGAGGGAAATAAATAGTGTTAGCTCTACTGTACTTTCAACTGCCTGTTACCCACTGTATGGCCTCATATTTTGACAGAACTGTAAAGTGTATTTTTCACTTCTTTGCCTCATCGGCTCTCTAATATGCAGTTGACAGCATTTTCTTGCATGTCTTATCAATCAGATATATACTTGTGGGCCACTAATATCCAGATGCCAGACATTGAATGTAAAAAATAAATTTTGAGCTTTTGATGGGTTAAGATGGCATAAAAAGGAGTCTAAAGACACCTTAAAAGCCACCTTTCCTTTGTATCTCATTTTTATAGCTGTAATATATTACTATGCATTATTATTAATGATCAGTTGATATTGTATTCTAGATGTACCTTATTTTTTCTTATCCAGTTCTATCATGCCTTCTCCCTTTCTCTTAGCATGTTCTCTTAACATGTATGAGTGAGCACACATGTATACACACACCCCCCTCATCATAGCTGCCTAAACTTACAAGAGCCATTTTACATTCATTCTCAGATACACATTTTCACCATCCAGCCTACAGAATTTCTAGAAGGGTACCAGAGACCCAGAAAAGAACTAAGAATGTATGTGGCTTGGTATTAGGTGAGATGACTCTGGAGGACAACTCTGCAAACTGGCTGTCAGCTGCAGCACACAGGGGACAGAGAGAACACGAGGATGTGAGGAATGATGTAGGTGGAGAGTAGAAAGATGTGTGTGATACTGCTCTGTCCCTCCTGTTCAACAGCAGCTGCTACAACATTTATCTCCCAACCCCTTTATGAAATAGTTAGCAATAACATCTGGAGAAAGGGGCAGGAACACAGATTTAAAAAAATATGAATAGCCGTGGCTGGGTGGCTAAGTTGTTTGGAACATAATCCTGTACACCAAAAGGTTGCAGGTTCAATCCCCAGTCAGGCCAAGGTTGTGGGTTTGGTCCCCAGTTGGGGCACAAACGGAAGGCAACCAATCAATGTATCTTTGTATCGATGTTTCTCTGTCTCTCTTTCTTACCCCACTTCTCTCTCTCTCTCTCTCTCTCTATCTATCTCTCTCAAATTAATAAGCATATCCTTGGGCAAAGATTTTTTAAAAGGAATATTAGTAGCTCACCCTCTTCTGATTTCTCTGGAATAGATTACAATAAATATTGAACATTTACTAACTGTTCCTCATTTTTCTGATTACCAAGCCTTGTGGATAAATTTTGAAAGTCAAAACCTTTCCCTTCTTGGACTTCCATGACAGCACACTCTTCTATTTCTGTTTCTGTTTGTTATGACTCGGTTTTCTATATAGGCTCTTCTTCCTCCTTCTGTCCTTCAAATTTGGTTTTTCCCCATGGTTCCATTTGTGGTTTCATGCTTTTTTCACTAGCCCTAGTCCTCCTGGGTAATTTCATCCACACCCAAGATTTGAAACATCATCTGATTTCTAAATCTGTAGATCATATTCCTGATCTCATTTCTGAGCTCCAGATTTGTTTTTCCACCTGTCAACTAGATGGTTGGATGCCAGCATCTCCACTTGATTAAAACTGAGCTCACTATTCTTTCCACAGCATATGTACCACTTATAGTCTCACATTTTAGTGAATGGCATTACCATTAATTACCCAAATAAGAGTGAAGGCTTCTGTTTGTGCCAGTATGCTCCCATGGCCCTTCTTTTCTAGATTCAGAACATCTCTGCAATTGATTCCTTTCCCCCAAATCTCTAGCAGCAATTGCCTTAATTTAGATTTTTCTCATCTCCTACCTAGTAGCCTCCACACTCGTGTCTTTGCCTCTGGTTTCCTAGGCTGTAAGAATTCCTACACACTGCAGTATTTATTCTAAACTGCACAGTTGGTCAGAGTGCACCTACTACTTAGAGACTAGGGAAAGTTGGTTTTTTCTTTTTCCCTAAAGTACCGGATTACATGGGGACATCAAGTGATTACCAGTGCTGGCCTTTATAGACCAGAATGATACCCAAAATTACAACTCTTGCTGTTTATCTTGAGAGTGTAGAAGTTACACAGATTCTGACTCACTCCTGGCTTCCTCTGAGAGGCCACTCCCATGCATTTTCCAGACCCACTTAGCCTAGAGACAAGATGTGTATTTAAGGGGAAGAAGGAGGAACCAGTAACAGTAAACTGTCTGTCATAATGCCTATTGGGAACCTGCTAATATGCCAAGAACAGATGTAGAATCTAACTGCAAAGTTAGGTGGAGACATCTGCACATACAGATTATTAGACACCATGAGTGGGACTTCCTGATTTATCATCCCTTTCCACCCGCACACGGATGTCTTCCAGTACATCAAGGATTAACAAGTTTGGCAAGCCCAGACTAAAAGTATTGCAGGCTAAATTTATTGAATTAATAAATATGGGTGAGTGAGTATTTTTTGAGTATTTATATAGTAAAGCTTTATTCACATTGACTTGCAACATTTCTATGAGCTACACACCTAATTATGTTTGCTTATGCAGTCAGTCCTTGACTACCCACAGATGCAGTATTTCTTTTGACTCTAAATGATGCCTATAGTCCAGTCAATGATATCTGAAGTATTTATACACTCAAGTTCTCTGACCATAGAGGCAACACTAGTATTTAGCAAGATGCTTGCTATGTGATAACTACTTAAAGATTAAATAAAGGAATGAATAAACACATATACTTAATCATCTCTTTATTAATCATTGTGAATGTAGACTAATAGGGCAACAAGCTTTTATTTTTAATTAGACTGAAAGGGATTCTGCTCATCCTTAGCATGGAGGAAGAACTGAGAGAATGCATTTTAGGGAAAAAGATGATAAAGATGGGCAGTCTAATAATGTCATCTTTAAATAATAGCACCATCTTTTTATTTGAAGGGTTACATTCTATTTGCTGTAAGTTAGCAAACTACAGCACACAGGACAAATGAAGCTTGCCACCTCTCTTGTTGAAACACAGCAATGTTCTTCATTTGTGTCTGGTCTATGTCTGCTTTTATGATGTAATAGCAGGATTAAATTGTTGCAAGAGACCATATGACCTACAAGACTAAAGCGTTTACTATCGGACCCCTTTCTGAAAAATTTTGCCAACCTCTCTCCTAGAACATTACATATACCTATATTCCAAATGTAAATAATATTCAAAATAAAATATGATTGAAGCTATTATTACTAATGTGTTTGTTAATCCCCACCTTAGTCATACTCTAATTGGTTAAATAATGATAAATTAAGTGAAAACTAATGCTGAATTAATGAAGTATCTTTACTATATGATTCAGCTTATTTTATACATTTTTGAAAATACATAAAGATGATGGAGAGAAAGATGCAGTTGGACTATCAATAAAATCATCAAAATTTTCTTTGTAATTGAATTAATTTTCCCCAGGAAATTTTATAGTATTACCTATTGAGGAAAGTAATTAAAGAATCCACTTCAAAAAGAAAAGATCTATCTAAAATATCTCCTCTTAGCCCTGACTGGTGTGGCTCAGTGGATTGAGTCCCTGTCTGTGAACCAAAGGCTTGCTGGTTCAATTCCCACTCAGGACACATGCCTGGGGTGTGGGCTGGGTCTTCAGTTGGGGGCATGTGAGAGGCAACTGATCCATGTATCTATCACACAGTGATAATTCTCTCTCTCTTTTTCCCTCCCCTTCCCCTCACTCTAAAAATAAATAAATACAATCTTAAAAAGAAAAATATCTCCTCTACTCCAAGTAAAGACAAGAGGAAGACATAAGACATGCTCTAGATTACATATTATACTCTCTACTTACATATTATTGCATATCAAACTTAGTGTGTTGTTTAATACTGTGTAGTCACAAAATAATATTGTTGGGAGTGGGGATGAGAGGTGGAGAAAATGCCTATTTGTCCTCCATACAAGTTAGACATGTAGTTCAAGTATCTGAGTTCTCCTGTAACAATCCATTATGGGTTTGATGTGCATAAATTTATATAAACCCAACCTTTTGCACTTTTTATTTTCAGATGATTTTACTTCTTGGGAAAAGAAGATTCTATGAGTTTACCAAATGTAGGGTAAAGTATCTGGTTATGGTGTTTGCTCAAAAAGATGTCTTTTTTCTGCCAAGATGGAGGCATAGGTGGAGACGCCGTGCTTTCTCACACAACCAAGTTTAGAGACAACAAAATGTTAGCAACAGAAAACACAGCCAGAACACAGAGAATTGAACTTTTCGGAAGTCTGATAACAACAAATTCTTCAGCCTGACTGGTAAGAGGGGGGAAGCCAGCAGCTGGCGGAGCAGGGTTGCACAGGAAAACTCCGTCAGACAGGCTCAGGCACACAGTCCCAGGCATGGGGTTGCAATGGGTGGACCCAGTGAGCGACCCAGTGAGTGACCAGCAGACCCAGCAAGGGCGCAGAGCGGTGGGTTAACTGTGGTTGAGCATTCATGCACAGATAGACCTGCGAGGGAGTAGGCAGTGAGACAGGACTGAGCAGGCCCCAGCAGTGGGAGGCAGCAGAGAGGGCCGCTATTTCCCCACTCTGACCCTGCCCCCACATACAGTATCACAACCCATCGACCTGGGCTGCCCCACCCTGGTGAACACCTAAGGCTCTGCTCCTCATACTTAATGGGCCCGAACAGACCAAAAATGGCTCAGGAAGATCTCAAAGCCCCAGAGCCCATAACTCTAAGCAACAAAGAAATAGCAAAACTTTCAGATGCACAGTTCAAAACACTGGTGATCAGGATGCTCACAGAACTGGTTGATTTTAGTCACAAATTAGAGGAACATATGAAGGCTAAATTAATTAAAATGGAGGGAATTGCACAGGAAACCAATAGTGATGAAGAGGAAACTGGGACTCAAATCAAGGGAGTGAACCAGAAGGAAGAAAAAAATGACCAAACAGAAAAATACGAAGAGACAAGAATTCAAAAAAATGAGGAGAGACTTAGGAACCTCCAGGCCATCTTTAAATGCCCCAACATCGAAATTATAGGGGTACCAGAAGGGGAAGAGGAACAGCAACAAGTGGAAAACTTATTTGAACAAATAATAAAGGAGAACTTCCCCAATCTGGCAAAGGAAATAGACTTCCAGGAAATCCAGGAAGCTCAGAGAGTCACAAAGAAGTTAAACCCAAGGAGGAACACGCCAAGGCACATTATAATTACATTACCCAAGATTAAAATGAAGGAGAGAATCCTAGAAGCAGCAAGAGCTAAGGGAACAGTCACCTACAAAGGAGTTCCCATCAGACTGCCAGCAGATTTCTCAAAAAGAGACTTTACAGGCAAGAAGGGGCTGGAAAGAGGTATTCCAAGTCATGAAATCCAAAGACCTACAACCAAGATTGCTCTATCCAGCAAAACTTTCATTTAGAATGGAAGGACAAATAAAGTGCTTCTCAGATAAGATCAAATTCAAGGAGTTCATCATCACCAAGCCCTTATTATATGAAATGTTAAAGGGACTTATCTAAGAAAAAGAAGATAAAAAATATGAACAGTGAAAGGACAGCAAACTCACGGTTATTAACAACCACATCTAAAACAAAAGCAAACTAAGCAGACAGCTAGATCAGGAGCAGAACCATAGAAATGAAGATCACATGGAGGGTTAGCAACAGGAGAAAGGGGTAGAAGGTACAGAAAATATGTAGCATAGATGGTAGATAGAAAATAGATAGGGGGGCAAGAATAGTATGGGAAATATAGAATCTAAAGAACTTGAGACACATGGTCATAAACTAAAGGGGGGAATGGTAGGGGTAGGGGGTGCAGGGTGGAGGGGAATGAAGGGGGGAATAGAACAACTGTAATGGCATAATCAATAAACTAAAAATTTTAAAAAGAAAAAATAAATAAAACATTCTTAGAATTAGACAATTTTTTAAAAAAAGAAAAAAAAAGGATGCCTTTTTTCAGGCATTATCCATAGACAATTTGTCATTCACCTTCTTCACCAGACTTGGTTCTGAGTGAACCAGTAGTTCTTTAAAGTCACTGTTACCCACAAAAGACAATGATCTGACACCATGGGACCATGGAGAGGGGATGACCAACAAGAAACTGCCCAAGTCCTGAGAGAAATTTCAAAGAAGGACAAAGATAAATGCTTTCAATGACAGCAACATTGTTACCACAACTTCCTAAGATGACTATTTGATGGATAACACTTATTTGGACTCTAAATTTTAGAATTTTTATTAAAGAAAAAAATTAATCTAGTAATATTATAGTCATACATTGTAAATGATAAGGTATGTGTCTAAAATACTACATAAAATACAGTTAAATGCACAATTTTAAAGTGTATCTGGCTGAGTTATTTTTTTTAGATTTTCCACTGTAGAAACTCCCTAGGACTTACATTTTTGCCAGTTGAAGATATGTGATACCATTAAGTCTCCATACTTGACAAGACACATGAAGCTGTGGTTGTCTGTCACATTGAAATCCAGTTCACTGCTAATAGTGTACAGCTCACTTTCAGGATCTTGGGTAACTGTTGTGTTGATAGCATTTAATTCTTTTCCATTTTCCAACCAGGAGAGGTGTGGTTTTGGAGAACCTCCAGAAGTTGAACAAATTATCCTTTTGATGTTAGTAGATGGATTTCCAAGCTCAGTTATACTTGGGACAGGGAAGTCAGCTGAAGAAAGAACAAGAATATTATTATATATGAGTGCGAAAATGAGATAATATTACAACTTTTCACAAGTCATTAGTAGTCATCTGTACTCCAAAGACTAACACTGGTTTGAATAGCAATTCTTTATTCCTTTTTTTAAAAGATTTTATTTATTTCTCTTTAGAGTTGAAGGGAAGAAGAGAAGGAGAGAAATATCAATGTATGGTTGCCTCTCTCGAGTCCCCTGCTGGGAACTGGCCTGCAACCCAGGCATGTGCCCTGACTGGGAATCGAACCACGATCCTCTGGTTCGCAGGCCCGCACTCAATCCACTGAGCTACACAAGCCAGGGCTATTCCTTTTCATAGGGGTAAGAGGGCAGTTATTAGAGAAATAAGAAATAGGTTCACATGAATAAATATTGACACACAACTTGAATTTACAAGAAATGAAGAGAAAAATAACAGACAACATTTATTGAGCTCTTAATTCTTGTTAGATCTGGGCATTTTCTCATTTTGTCTTTCAACAACCCTAGGAGGTAGGTTGTAGATTAAGAAAATCAAATATCAGTAATTTCATATGATATAATTAGTAATTTCATAATCTAATACAATTTGTATTTTATAAATAATGATGTTGAGGTCTAATCACAAGCAATAAGTGGCAGAACTGGTATTTGAGTCCAAGTTTTTCAGTTACCAGGGCCTTCTTTTTCTTTGCCTTTCTTTCTTTTACTTTGTTTCTTTCCTTTCACAAGCTGGCTCTCTTTTACTCATCAATTTATTAGTTAATATTATATTAAATGTTATGAACCTACCACCCAGCTTGAGAACCGGGACACTGACAGTAACTTATTTACATATACTTGTATGGTCTCAGCTATCCTGTCTCCTACTTCCCACATCTAATGTAACAACTACCCTAAATTTTATTTAGCGCCCTCTAGTCTTTTCATTGGGTGAATTTCTGTCCAGCCTTTTCATTGGGTGAATTTCTGTCCAAAACCATACAATCATTAGGAATCATTTACTAATCCCCTCGCCACTCTGGTATAACAGAGAGACCTTCCTAGCATTCGTCCAAGATACCTGGGGCACTCTTTCACTTGTCCAGTTGAGCCCTAATAAGATATTAAAGTATATTCAAGCAAAGCATAGTGGAATGACTGCAGAGAACACAGGGGAAAGCTCCCCTCACCTCTTCCTCACTTACTCTTAGATTGAAAGAATTTATACTTTTTGGCACGAATGTGGGGAGTGTATCCTCTCATACTTCATCCCATAGCTTTCTTTTCAGAATTCTGAGTCCCAAGAGAGATGTAGTATAGCCAAGTGGTCGTCAAGAGCAGGTTTTAAAACCAGTTTTACCTTTTAACCCTGGGCCAGTTACTTGACCACTTTTAGTCTTAGTTTGCTCAACTGTACGATGAGCATAATAATACCTACTTTGTAGAGCTGTAAGCATTAAATGACATGTTAATATAAATTACATAGCACAGAACTTAACACAAGGACAGTAGTTAGTAAACTGACTCTTGTGGGTCTTAAATTTGCCCCCTCTTAGATGAGTTTCCTTATTTAAATCAGGTTGTTAGGGGAAAGTTCCAGGACTGTCTGGTAGCACTGTGAATAAGAAGGAAAGGGGCAGCTTATGACAGGTGATTATAATTGCCAAGAAAAGGGAAAACTTGGACTTGGTTGGCGGTGAAGTCACCTTTCTTTTTTTAATTAGTCCTGTTTCTAAATTAAGTCTGACATTTTCCTGTGCCATTTTTAGTTGACATTAATATTTCCTACTCCTGTAATTTATCCTATAAGATCAAATTGTTACACTGGTAGCTGACATTAAGAATATTCCCTTGTTTCTACACATCCAAGTAACTCATGTCCTGAAGTGTAATTCTTGTTCATTTCTACACTCTGCTTTTCTGAGAAGTAGATAAACCACAAGGCACTAATACCAGGAATTGTATTAAAAATCAGCTTTTCAAGGTCTGGCTCAGCTTAGAACAGCCTCAGCTCTGTCTCCTGTCCCTTCTGTAAGGTGATCTGTTCAGAATAACAGCTCCTAAGGCCTTGCAAGACCGTGAGCCATAAAAGAATTACTCCTCTGTTCTCATTTTAATTAGTTAACCCAAGTTTTCACCATTCTTAATGGGTAGGGTAAAAATACCTTAATAGGAGAAGAAGAGGTACACATGTTTTAGAAAGTAAAAATCCATTAACTAGTTAATATGTTAACTAGTATAACTAGTTCTTCAAATGTACTGGTTAATGGAAGCTTTCATACACTGGTGTGCTGATACATCATTTTGCAATCTTAAGGCAAATGTAGAGAAACCAAATTGTCCTGGTTAGCCTGAGATTTTTCCAGTTTTAGTACTGAAACCCTGTAGGTCTGAGGAGAATCTTCAGTCCTGGGCAAAATGGGATAGTTGGTCACTCTAGCCAACAGACAGACAATTTATAATTTCTTGTTCCTCCCACTGTGGTCCTCAGCAGCCACACAGGCATCACCTGGAAGCTTGTTAGAAGTGTAGCATCTCAGATCCAACTTGAGACCTGCTGCATTTGGGTCTGCATTTTAACAAGATCCCCAAGTCATAGGCCCATTTGCATTTGCAAAGCACTGCTCTCTGTGGGCTCAGTTGGAAAAATCAGAATTGGTTCTGGGTCAAATTAATCAGGTATTATTTCCCTTTGTGTCTTCCCTTACCTGATTTGAGTGCTCCACCCCACTCCCGAGGCCTTCCGCACTCTCAGGTTGCCCACGTTGACCTATCCTTTCCCTCCTATATAACGCGCTGCTAGGGGCTGTCCTCCCTGAAACTCTGCCTCTTTTCTACCAAAATGTACATGTCCTGAGTCTACTCTCTGTGTACTCTGTTAGAGGAAGATGTACCTAATGTAATTAACTGATACAGACTACTCTGTCTGTGGTGCCACCTCCCTTAGGGAACATGTTTTCACTTTTAGCAGGACCTTAGAGGGGAGGGTCATAATAGCAGGAGATCCAGGAATCAACACATGTAAGAATTTTGGAGGAAGTGGGCTTCTTAGAGCCCCTCAAATCCCACCACCACATAGTCCCTATTTCCACGAGTAGGAAAGACACAGATTGAGGTTTAAGATAAGTCCATGTAACTTCGCCTTACCACCTAAATGTTAGGTGCGAACTGGGTGCTACAGATCATAGCTAAAGACCAAAGCAGGGAAGAATGGTGAAGAATTTACTACATTATCTGTTATCAAGGTTAATCATTATCTTTTTGTTGCTTATTTTCTTTTTTATGTTTATTTTCTCAATTAGACGTGACATTCAATATCATATTCGTTTTAGGTATACATTGGCAGTTAGACGTTATATAACTTACAAAGTGATCCAGTAAATCTTGTACCCACCTGGCACCATACATAGTTATTACAACATTGTCTTTTATTAAGAGGTTTGGTTTCCATTAAAGGCTCAAGCACCCAGGGAGAAAAAGAAATGTATTTGAATTTTAAGTGTGAGGGAATGGCCCAGGGCTGTATTCCTCAACAAGGGCTCAGGTTACATCACACTGTCATCTGTAAGTCAAGGCTTCTTTTGACCCAAGATAAGAAATGCTTACCCTTCACAGTAGATGTACATTTAGGGCTTTGATTCATGAGTTAATTTCCTTTTCCGGTGACAGGCATAAATTATGATTTCAGTTCTCTCACATCTAAATTTGTAGGAATGACTTTTAGATGAGAGCTTCAAATATACAATAAATATAATAGTACAATAGCCATAATAATAAATATTCAAATACTATTTGAAAAATATTTATGCCTGCATTGCTCTTATACCTTTCAACATGAGTTCATATGAATATATTACTAGATCAGGACAGTTAATAGTAGAGTTACCTCAATTCAAATATGTCCCCAAATGATTCAGAAGGCATTCATGTCATTAGAGTGCCCCAGAACGATTGTCATGAACTTGGATTGTCAAAGTGCAAGAAATATAACAGGGTGCAGCCAAAGGGTGGGGAGCAAATAGGGATTTGTAATGGGGTCCAGAACTCAGGGTGTCCAGGAAATATTAGAAAAACAATATGTATAGGATGTCCTCGCCCCTCTCACAAGTCTGAACTGGGGGATGGGACACATGGAGTAGGGCCATTGAGAACTGTTTTGCATAGTAACAGCTTTGTAGCTAACTTCTGGCATGGTCATTTAACATATCTATAGCCTTTAACTGGTTTCATGAATATGTCAAATAGCTGTAGCCATGCTTTGAGCTGGGGGATGGAAGTGACTTCCACCCAAGATGTAACTGGGAGGCAACTCCCCCTGGTTACAGTGCCTGTGTGAGAGCTTGGAGATGATTGGCTCCACATCATGGGGCCATGCCTGCCCAGACTCACTATGGCAGCCCAGTACAGCTGGAAGGATATGGGAGTGCTGGAAAGTATAACCAGTTGTGGGAAGAGTCAGAAATGAGGCTGCAGAGGAAGACTGGCACTGGAATTTAAACCCAGGCACGGCAGCCATGCCAAGGGTGGGGACCACATGGCTTTGGCGGAGGTGGGACCCTGTGGCTTGGGCAAGAGTCAGGACCACACAGCTTTGGGGTGCTCCCTTTTGCCACGTAGCTTAGGCGCAGGAGAGACTTTGCCTGGAAGGAAAAAGGTAAAAGGACTCTAGCTGGTAGGCCATGAGAAGGTGACACGTGGCTTTGGATTAACTGGAAATCATAGCAGCAACATAGCTGATGGTGCCGGGAGCCTTCTTTTCCTGAGATATGGCACCCCGGACTGGGCAGAGAAGGGACTGTGTGCACCTGTGGGTATTCTAAAGGACTTTGGTATTTTAATGAAGACATTAAGTCATTACTCTAAGTCTTTATAACTTTTAAATAAATAATTTTTTTCCTTTTCACCAATCTCTGGCATTGAGAGACATCTTTCCCTTTGCCCTTGGCAGTGGGCAAAGTGAACCTAGTACAATGAGGGGAACCCCTGGGAACAAAGGGGGGTCCTTTGGGTAATAGGCTATTGTTCACTCCCCCTGGGTCTATTCTGTAACAGAAATGCACACTAGGAGTTATGTCCAGGACATTGTGAGAAATCAGTTAGGGTTTACTGTAAAACTAGAGATTCACTTAGCCCTAAGAAATACAGTGAGATACATCCCTCTTTGAGAAAATGTTCACCTAATTCAATATGAGTATATTTTGAAGGGCATCAAGAGTCTGCAGACTTAGAGTAAATCAGAAAATTCCACTGACCTCTGACCAGTAAGCTCACCGGCTTCAAATGTACCATTTGGAAAACCCCTTTCTCAGGTTTCTGAATGATGCAGTCGTAGATGCCACTGTCCGACAGTTGCAAAGCCAGGATCACAATGGAAGGGTTATTGGTGATGGTAGGGATGGTGCGGTTCTTGTACTTGGGCCACACTTTTGCTTCTCCAGATATGACACTCAGCACCACATCTTTGGGTTTTTTTTGCCAGTAGATGCGAACTTTTGTCAGGTCATCAGCGGAGATATTGTAATCACAAGGTAGTACTGCTGTATCTTTCACTCTCTTGACCACCTGGCTGATGCCTAAGGAATAGGCAAATAGAACAAGACTTTATTTATTTATTGTACATATATCCCTGCACAAGCAGGAAATCAGAGCTGGCAGTAACAGAACTCACGGCATTGTATCTAGTGACCAAGCACAATCAAAGAATGCAGTTTAGTTTCGATATTTTATTGGGGTTAAAAAACAAATAAAATTTGCCATCTTGACTATTTTTAAGTGTACAGTTCAGCAGTGTTCAGTGTATTTACATTGTTGTGAAACAGATCTCCAGAACTTTTTCATCCTGCAAATCTGGAGCTCTATACATATCAAGTAGTACCCCTTTCTCTTTCTCCCTGATTCCTGGTAACCAGCACTCAACATGTTTCTATGAATTTGACTACTTTAGATAGCACACATAAGTGGACTCATGCAGTATTTGTCTTTTTGTGACTGCCTTATTTTACTTAGCATAATGTTCTCAAGTTTCATGCATGTTTTAGCATGTGCTAGAATTTCCTTCCTGTTTAAGGAAGGATAATAAGATAGTGATCATAATGAATACTATTCTATAGTATATATTTTCTTTCTCCATGTATCTATTAATAGACAGTGGGGTAGGAGGTCCACTAGTCCCGTAAGAAGAAGGACTTTGGGAAATATAGCATGTGAATGCCAGCCACAGGTTGGACATGTACTCAACCCCACAGGGATATAGAAGTCATAGTTAAGAAATGTGATCTCTTGAGGGGATTTTCTTTTCTTTTTTTTAAATTTTAATTTTAATTAAAAAATTATTTATTTAATTGTTGTTCAAGTACAGTTTTCTGTCTTTTTACTCCCATCCCAGCCCACCCCCCCAGCCCTCCCCACCTCCCTCCCATTTCCACCTCCCTTAGTTGTCCATGTGTCCTTTATACTTGTTCCTGTGAATACTTCCCCTTTTCCCCTGAAATTCCCTCCCTTCTTCCTTCTGGTCACTGTCAGCCTGTCCTCTATTTCAGTGTCTTTGGTTATATTTTGCTTGCTTGTTTATTTTGCTATTTAGGTTCCTGTTAAAGGTGAGATCATATGGTATTTGTCTTTCACTGCCTGGCTTATTTCACTCAGCATAATGCTTTCCAGTTCCATCCATGCTGTTGGGGATTTTCATGATCATTTTCACAGATGGTCTCTTTGATCTCCTGATCTGGATGCTCTAGGGTTGCCCTTTATGCAGTTTGTGTGGGCTCTCAAGCTGTACTTTGGCTTTGATTATTGATGGCTCATTCGTTGCTGGGTTCTCTCCTGTGGCTGGCTGATTGGGAGTCACAGCTCCCACCACATCTTGTATGCAGTGGTACAGGTGCTGGTTAATAAGGCTACATTACCCAGAAACCCAAACCCATGCCAATAAAAGTACCCCATTCCACATCAGCAATATCAACAGCAATGGAACAAAGATTAACTAAGGTGGAGAGAGATTAAGAATATTATAAAACAGGAAAAAAGGAATATGAGATGACTAAAGGAGAGAAAAATGATTTTGAGAGGGATGAGGGAGGAGGACTAATACTAGTAGGGGATAGAAAGAAGGCAAGGAAAGGGACAAAATAAAATTAAAAATTAAGAAAAATAGGCAATAGCAAAATGAAGTAAGAGAAGGGGAGAGTATAATATGATGTTTGAAATAGAGAACCAAAGGTAACAAAATTTCAGAAAAAGCACGAGAGGGTCAATAACAATGAGCAAAGATTAATAAAGGTGGAAAGAGAATAAAAATATAAGAAGGTGAAAAAGAGTGTGAGCTGACTAGAGGAAAGAAAAATGATTTTGAGAGGATAGAGGGAGGATAAATAAAGTAAGGAATAGGAACAAGGTGTAGCATAGGGGAAAATATACTACTATTTACAATGAAAATAAGAAAGGGCAAAAAAATACCTTATTCCAAAATGGAATAAGACAAGGGAAGGGTATGATGTGAGATCTGAAATAAAAATAAAATAAAATAATATAAAAATCTAAATAAAAAGAATAAAAAATAAAAGACAAAGAATAGTTCATTCGTTGGAATACAATTGGAACAAAAGAAGAAATATTAAAAGGCTATGCAAAGGGAAGAAAAAATAACGCAAATTCCAAAGAAGAACAAGTGGGATTCGTCTCAGCAGTTTGGTGTTTGCCTTCTGTCTTCTCTTTCTGGACCTGCCTCTGGCTTTTTATCATTTCAAGGTCTCAGGGTGGGTCATCCAACTTCTGCCAGCACCATTTGTATCACCTTCACCTGCCTCTAGAGGGGGCTTCTATTGTGATGGGGAGGGTGGGACCCCGGGGTCTCCACTGCGAGGCACTGTTCAGTCTTCTGGAAAAATTGGTGCATCTCCCCTCCCCCCCCACACCACCAATCTTGGTCTGTCCCACTTTATTTCCAATAATCTATAGTTTCTGATGAACTAGCTGACCGTTTCAAGGGAGAGGCGAATCTGTGTAAGAGGGTCAGCTCTTTCCCGCTTGGTACTGATGGCAGTTCTGTATGCCAGCCAAGGCTAGGTGAGGCCTCGATTCTCTCTTGCTGCACTGGTTTCTAATCTTCCTGTTTTGCAGGCCTCAGTGGAATTAAGGCCCTAGGAACCAGTGTATTTTGTCTCCCTGAGAGAAGTTCAAAATGAGCCCTTTGGGTGTTTCTTTTTCTGTCTTTCTCTTGCGGAATGCACGCAACAGGGGGTTCTTGAACCTGTCCTGCCTCTCTTGCACAGCTTCCTCATTTAATGTGGTGGTGCTTGCAATCCTGCAGGAGGTGGGGGCTGGGTGCATCCTTCCCTTCCCAGAGGCTTGAACTCGGAGGGCAAGGGAAGGAAGGGAGTTCTCTGCCTGGCTGTAAATAATCTCAGGTGCTCAACTCCTGCCTATCCAGTTCCCAGTCCCCTGCCCTTATAACAGACACAGTTGCAAACTCTCCACTCTCCGCAGTCTCCAGCCTGCTAGCTGGGCCTGGCTGGGGCCAAGAAATCCCCTTGCTGTGCACCTTTCTGATCTCCCTGCCCAGCTGTATTCAGTGGGAGCAAACTGCACTTTTTATCTTTTACCTTTGTTGGAAGGGCAGCTGTGCACAGCGTCCCTGCCCAGCATGCTTCAGCTCCCCTTTTAAAAAGTCTTTCTGGGCACACCCACTGCAGAACTGAGTCACTGTCTGGTTTTCCACACACACCAACCACCTTTCTTCCCAAAAGTCGAAGGTCTCTCACAGTCCTAGCTTGCCCCGGCCTGCTTCCACCCAACCCAGGTGTGGAGAGAACCCTCCTTTTTCTCTGACACTCTCCTGGTTGGCGTTTGCTGCTGCAGCTATGGGTGTGTTGCTCACTGTGTGTGTCTGTAGCCTGGATCTCCCCAACTTTGTGTTTCCAAGTCACTTCCAGTCCAGATCTGGGGGTTCCCAGGAGGGAAGGAAGCAGCAAAGCTGTGATTTCTGACTAGGCTTTCCATAGCCGCAGGAGCCTTGCCAGAGGGGGTTTCCCCTTCAACCTATAAAATCTCCTTTCCACCCATTGTGAAACGTCTTCCGTTCTCCTTGGCTTCCAAACTTCATATCAGCCAAGGTTCCATTGAATGTTCAGTTTATTTGTATACAAGTTGGAGGCAAGAGCAAGAGGACTCAGCTTCCACCTACTTGGCCCCCGTCTTCTCTCTGGTTCTTTTTTTGTTCATTCATTTTATTTCTGAGTTCATCAAATGGCCTTTCTGGGTTTTGTATTTCCTTGAGTTTTTTTCATAACTGCAATCTCAAATTCTCTGTCATTTTAACTGCAGTCTTCCAGGACTTTGAGTTTGGTTTCTGGAGACTTTTCATTTTCTTTCTGTGCTTCCACATTACCCTGGTTCTTCATGGTTTTTTATGAATTGTTTTTCTGTCTGTGAATGCTTTTCTTGTTTAGCTAGTTTTGCTCTTAACAATTCAGTAGGTTGATAGGTAGGTTACTTTCTTTTGTTTTCCAGTAGATGGTGGTATAGCACCAGTTTTTGTTTTTTCTTACTTGGGGTGTTAAATTGAGGAAAATGCCACAGAACCACGGGAACAGTGGGTGTCCCCTCTGTTCTGCTCATCTTGCGTAAGGGGCACCACCGAGCAGGGTAGAGAACCAGTTTTGTTAGCTCTGAGCAATGCCTCCTCGTTATTAATGGCAGCTGGCCCCACTGAGCTGTTGGAGTTGTCTCCACTGCCTCTGCCAGAGTCTGTGGTGATGAGTGGGGCAGGGGAGGCAAGGATTTCGCAGCTCTGTCCTCCTGTCAGGAATGGCTGCCAGCACTGCTGTGATGTTTAAGCATCCAAGTCACCTCTCTTGGGCTCTGCTGCAATGGGGAGGGGAAAACAGAGCTGTCCTCTCAGGGTGGGATACCGCCTCTGCCTTTCTCATGCTCCAGACTGTAGTGTGAGGGCTGCAGCCTGACCTCCCCGCCACAGCTGTGCTTGCTGGAGCCACAGTGGGTGCCAAATTGTGTCTTCATGCACACCTTCCCACTCTGCCTCCCCTACTCATTCCAAAACATCCACCTTCAGATGGGTGGATCTCTGAGGAAGTTTGTGTGATGAGCAGGGATCCTTTGTTGAGTTATGGTTGTCTGACTTCTTATAAATTTAAGGGAGAAACAAAGAAGTCCTCTCACTCTGTCATGATGCTGACAGTACAAATGGGCTAATTTCAGTGATGTTTCTTAAGGAATTTTTGTCTAGTCATCCAAGAAGTGTAAGTATCTCTAAAGGTCAGCGATACACTGTGTGAGGCCACCTTGCAAGATGCCCGTGTTGAGGAAGAATCAGACTGAGAAGAGGAACCAAAAGTCTTCTCGGCATGTTGGAAATCCCCACTGGGACCCCTTCCACTTAGGTCCCTGTGCTCGACACTGCATTTTAACAAGGCTTCCAGGTAAGGATGTAAAATACAAGTGTGAGCAGCACCGGTATAGACTATGTCACTCCGCTGCTTAAAACCCTTTCATGGCTTCCCAGTACCCTCCAGATAACAGGGCCTTCAAGCCCTACGGAGTCTGGTCCCCATCCCCACAGCTCCCACCCCTTCACTTCCTCGCTCTTGGTTTCTCCCACCGGTTTCTCCTTCTTCTTTCTTCCCAGTTCACTCTTACCACTCTCCCCTCTGACAGGGAAAGACAATGTTTATTGTTCATAACTTCAATTGGGTGATTATATGATTGATTTGCATTTTCTTCCTAACAACTATGAATTCCATAAGGGCAAAAGCCATGTCAATTTTGCCCATAGCTTGTCCCCAACACCAAGTACAAGTACACTGTCTTGTACTTTGGAGATGCTCGATGCCTGTTGAATTAATAAATGATTAAACAAAAGAATAAATGCATGTGCCGGATTCATCCTTATATTTGTGCCTTTGTCCATACTGCTGCCCCACATAGAATTCTCAGACAATTACCTGTTTTCCACTTGCACAGCTGCCCCAGCCCACACTGGTCCGCCTTTACCAGGTCTTAGGCTTAGAGTCAGACCAAGGAAGGTCTGACTGAAGTCAGACGAGTCAGACTTCACTGCTCTTCACTTGCTGGTGAGTCAGTTTTGCTTCATTCAACGGACAATTCTTAAATCTCTTTTAGGGCAGGAATCCCAGGCTCAGTTTTTAAGGCACAGTTGGTAAGTGCTCAGGCATAAGAAGCTCATGGGTTTGTTTGTGACTCAGTACAGCAATACTAAAATCAGGATGTAGTTATAGAACGGCAATTTTCAACTGGTGTGCCACAAGAATTTTTAAAACATGTAATACCTGACTATTTAGTCAGGGGCACTGACTTCTTTTCCCTTAGATTGTCAAATAAAAAATGACAACAGCCAACACAACCATAGCTGTCTGGTGTGGATTAATCAAAATTATACCTATTTTTCATCAGGACAGCAAAAAATATAATACTTTTTTTTTTGGTGTGCTGCAGAACTTTAGTAATTAGTTTTATAATTACTAAAGTTTATGTGTGCCATGAAATGAAAAACGTTAAAACCACTGCTATAGAACAAGGTACTTTCCTAAATATCTTTCTTTAGCTCAAAGATCATCTTCCATTTGCCCATGACTAATTTTCTGGTATAATTACTAAAGGCTTGGTTTTAGTTTTAATGTTCTTTTTTTTTACTGCTACAATTTTTAATATATTTTTATTTGATTCAATTTATTTTTGACGCCCTTTTTATATTTTATCTTTTTTATTGTTTCTCTCTCTGTCACACACAGACACACCCCAACCCCAGAAAAGCCTGTATAAAAATCCTTTTAAATCATTTGCAACTTAGACTCTCCAGAAAACTCTAGTTTGAGAGTGCTTTCCCAACTTCTCAGAAGAAAACTCTAATTGTTGGAAATGTGTTATAATTGTCAAGTGTACACAAAATAGTCAAGTAATTCGTGTACCCTAACTCCTCTTCCCTTTCCTCAACCTCTCTTCCTCATATCTTTGACATTCTGGACAATGCCCACAGTGCAGGCATGTTTTAAGTAAGCAGCTCTTAACACAAGGGCTTTTGATGTTCAGCTCTTTGTAGACTGGCAAATTATTTGGAGTCAAAGCCTTTATTTTGGGGAAACAAGATACGATACTGCTCAGCAGAAAGCAATCTTCTGTTTTGACTTTAAAAGTATTGCCAGGATGAGTCCCACACTTCCCAAAAGTCCCTTCAATCCAGCACTTGAGCTGAAACAAAAGCCTCCAGAACTCAAAATACTCTTTGCAAAACACACATGAATAGTTATGTGGAAAATTTAACATAACTCAAAATATAATTCCACGTTAAATCTGATACACTTAATGTCAGATGCCAGTGTCCACAAAGGGCATCAATACCTAAAGCATAAAAATAAACATTAAGAGAAAAATGTAACATTAAGAAGATTATATACCTCAACTGCTTTCTCTTCCCCTTTCGAATCTGAAAGATCATCAATGCTCAGTTTTAGAAGCAGAACACTTTAGCTGTGTTGTCTCATAGAAATACAGTTTGGAAATCAGAGCCCTAAACCAATGTCACAAAATATAAATGAGAAACTAGTATTCATGGAAGAGACCACAACTCTAAGCTGGACTTCCGAATAAGCTTTATGGTTTTGTTAAAATAACACTATCCTGCTCTCGCTTTAAGGTCTTGGGTCTTGAGCTAACTTGGTCACTCACTTGTTTTGTGATCACATACAGGTCCTTTCACATCTCTAAAATGGACAGAAATACGCCACTTGGCAGGACTATAGAGAGGGTAGCACTGAGAATATCATCTCCTTTCTCGAGACCCTGAAACAATGGACTCAGTCATGTTGCTTACCTGAACAGAAGTAAAAAAGACCAGCCAGCACCAAAAGCTGAAAGAGGTATGAGCACTTGAGGTATGAGCACTTGGGTAGTAGTGTTCCCCACATTAGTGTTTGATCCATGGCTTTTGCTGCTTATGATGGAAAATGAAAGGAAGTAATTTTGCACCAAGTAAGAACTGGTCACCTTCCAAGCACGTATCAGGCTTGGGCAGAAGATAATTCAATTGCCCCAAACACTCAGTTTAGTTATAAAACACACCAAAAAGAGGCTGATGGTGTACCTAGGTCTCCAAATTCCCAAATATTAAAAACTGTGGATTTGACAACCTGAAAAAGAAGAATACAAAAGTCACTCAAGAAGAAGGTCAGCTCACTGTGGAGTAAAACTCACTAGTTGCCTGACTGATCCCCAAACCAAGGGCATGATGGCAAGTTCACAGTAAAGGTTGGATGGATTTTGGGGAAGTTACCCTACCTTGTACATGTTCCAAGAACCAACCACAGCTCTCCCATGGAATGGCTCTCTGCTCAGTTGGGATGATCAAATCTTGGTTAGAAATGCAGAGAACTACAATATAATGGCCAATCCATGAAAGTTCAGATTCTTTTCAGAACATACTGGTTCACAGAATTATAAGGATTTAGTGTACAGCTCAACAAAACATTTGCACAGAAGGTCACTACATAACCCTAAAGGGATTGATCCAACAAGAGGATATAGCCTTGTAAACATAAATGCACCAAACATAGGAGCACCTAAATATATGAAGAAAATGTTGAGGGACAATAAAGGAGAAATCAACAGAAATACAGTCATAGTAGGGGATTTTAACACCCCACTGACGTCAATGGATAGATATTCCAGACCAAAAATCAGCAAGGCAACAATGACCTTAAACAACACACTGAATGAGATAGATTTAATTGATTTTTACAGAACATTTAATCCCAAAGCAGTAGCATATACATTCTTAAGTGCACATGGAACTTTCTCAAAGACAGACAGTATGTTAGACACAAAATAAGTCTTAATAAATTCAAGAAGATTGAAATCATATCAATCATCTTCTCTGACCACAACTGTATAAAACTAGAAATCAACTACAATAAAAAACTGAAAAACATTCAAATACATGGGTGCTAAATAACATGTTACTAAACAATGAATGGATTAACAATGAGATCAAGGAAGAACTCAAAAGTTAAATGGAGACTTCTGGTCAAGATGGAAGCAAGGGAAGCACAGCTTGCATCCTTGCACAACCACATCAAAATTATAACTAAACTACAGAACGATCGTCAACCAGAACTGTCAGAAATTGAGTTGAATGGAAGTCTGACAGCTACAGAATTAAAGAAACCACATCCATCAAAACTGGTAGGAGGGACAGAGATGTAGAGATGCTGAATGGGTTGGTACTATACCCACATGTGGTTGATAAAAATTTGGGAAGGATGTCTCTGGAGCGAGGAGTCCCAACCCCACACCAGGCCCCCCAGCCCAGGGTTCCGGTGCCAGGAAGATAAGTCCCCATAACTTCTGGATTTAATCAGTGGAAGAAACTTTTGAAGTCCCAAGCAGTTCCTCTTAAAGAACATGCACACGGACTTATTCAGACTCACTCCTGACCTCCAGCACCAGGGTAGCAGCTTGAAAGGCACCAGTGGCATAAGGGGAGGAACTGAAGTATCTGGCATCAAGGCAAGAGCTGGAGGAGAGCCTTCTACCAGACAGAAAGGCAAACACAGGCCACTCTTTTCGGAACCTTTCCACCACAGAGGTACAGAGCTAGCAGGTGGGTGCCATATCTGAGACTCCATCAACCTGGCTAGCACTGTTTGTCCCTCCCTGGACATCCCCTGAGGCTCCACTCAACCCAAGCTGTTAAGACAGGCTGCTCCATATGAATGGCTGGTCTTGGCTCATGCTTCACAATTTCCCAAACTCTCTCAAACAAGCAAAGCTGGACTCAGTGAGCCCCAATCCCCCCTACCTCTTGCTAAGTGGCCCTAGGCCTGGTACTAGCAATATTCAACATAGTTTCACAGCTTGGTTCCCTTGGGAACCTCCAAGTCCAGCACCAGTAGCAGCTGTCTGCAGACTGCATTGTAGTTCAAACAGGGTGGCCCTGTGCAGAACAATGTTTGGTGCTGACCCTCACCTGCACCACCCAGGAAACCCCAGAGCCTGCATATATCAGTGGTCAGCTACAGACTACATTGAAGCACCACTATTCTGTCCCTGTATAGCTGACAGTCCATGGGGCCAGAGTTTGGTGGTCAGCGGTCAGAGCCAGTCCCTGCAGCTGACTGGCTTGGGTAAATTCCTCCCATTGACCAGCCAACAGCAGTCAAGACTCAACTACCAGAGAAGAGTATACTCAGCCCACACGCAGTGTGCACCTTGAGCACCCTGCTTCAGTGATATGGGAGGCTGTGCCACTGGACCCTACAGGACATCTACTCCATTAGGCCATGTTACCAAGACAGGGAACTGTGGCAGCTCTACCTAATACACAGAAACAAACACAGGGAGGCTGCCAAAAAGAGGAGGCAAAGAAACATGGCCCCAGTGAAAGAAGAGATCAAAATACCAGTAAAAGAACTAAAGAGAATGGAGATAAGTAATCTATCACATGCAGTTTTCAAAAACGTTGATTATAAGGATGTCCACCTAACTTAGTGAGGACACCAACAGCATAATAAGGATCCAGTTAAATGAAGAATATGCCTATTGAAATAAAAAACAATTTACTGGGAAACGACTGTAGAGTGGATGGAGCCAAGAATCAAATCAATGATTTGGAAGATAAGGAAGCAAAAAACAACCAATCAGAATGACAAGAAAAAAAATGAAGATAGCTTAAGCAGTCTCTGGGACAACTTCAAGCATTACAACATTCACATCCTAGGGGTGCCAGGAGAAGAGAAAGAGCAAGAAATTGGAAATCTATTTGAAAAATAATGAAAGAAAACTTCCCAATTTGGTGGAAGAAATAGACATACAAGTCCAGGAAGCACAGAGAGTTCCAAACAAGATGGATGCAAAGTGGCCCACTCCAAGATGCATCATAATTATAATGCTAAAGGTTAAAGATAAAGAGAGACTTTTTGCCCTGGCTGGTGTAGCTCAGTGGATTGAGCGTGGCCCTGCAAACCAGACAATCGCGGTTCAATTCCCAGTCAGGGCACATGCCTGGGTTGCAGACCAGTTCCCTGCAGGCCAGTTCCCAGCAGGGGACGCACGAAAGGCAACCATACATTGATGTTTCTCTACCTCTCTTCTTCCTTTTCCCTCTAAAGATAAATAAATAAAATATTTTTTAAAAAAAGAGAGACTTTTTTTTAAGTGTGGGAAGAATTATTTTTGGTCACAAAAGACTTGTCAATTTTTTAAAGCACCAGTAAATACCTGCCCAAAACATCTGATACGGATTGCAAGAGTCCATAATTCTGGCTTGGTTTTTATCTTAAGAATTTGACATTTAGTCCTTTCCTTGAGGCAGAAAGGAAGTGGTGAATTGGCCCCTTGCTGGACCTCAGTTCCTCAAGGTGAAGGGAGACCCACAGCCAGCAGGGGCCCAGGCAGCCTCCTTCCCACTCCCCGGGGGAATCCCTGGGAAATGGGGGGCGGTGATTTTACAAATCCTTTTCTGTAGAGCAAGACCAAAACATCAGAAGGGTCTGTAAGGAACACAGGCTGTTCCAGACGGACTTTGCTTTCAGAAGTTGCTATGATTCTGTTCACCAAAGACTGTGCTTTTTAACTGTTTTTTAGAAAAGTGCGCCAGCTGGGACTGAGCGTAAAGGGGTCCCAAGCATTGGCAATACAATGATACTACAAATGGCTCAACAGAGAAGAAAGTGCGTCGGAGAGCTTATTTCCAGCGCTTGGTGTGGCAGGAGCCGCAGCCCCGCCCCCATGCCATCCCCCCCCCCCCCCCCCCCCGCGTTGTCACTGGGGAGGAGACCAAATGAGGTGATTTCTCCCTGTTCCCCAGGAGGCAGTCTTGGACCGCTCCAGTTTGTCCTCTGGGTTTTCTTCGCAAGTGATCAGTCCAAATGTGGATAATTTAAGGCTTTCCGATTTTCCTTTCTGTGTCAGTGTGTATGTCTCATATTTTTTTAAAATTGAAGGTTTAAGGTACCAGTTTTATTAAAGGAAAAACTGGATGGAAGAAGGATGTTTGGAGTAAAAGCCAAAATACAGCTTCCTTCTCGTTTCCCCTTTGAATTGAGTTCAACTAAAACAGCTGGGCCCATCAAAAAGGCAGGAGGTGGTAGGGCAATGGCTGAGGATGCCAGAGGGGAGGGGAGGAGACTCAGCACTAATGTTTTCCTGCCTTCAGTCACTGTCCCCAAACCGTCCCACCACTGGAGCAGAGGACCCAGTACCCTCTCCCGTTCTCTGCCTCTCAGGGGCTACACACACTGCTGCGTGCAATGCTGGGCTTGAGTGCCTGCTCACACAACTGTCAATGTGCGCCCAGGGCAAGTTATTTAACTTCTGGTCCTCTCTGCTGTATAAAGGAGATAATAATCCTTTGGCAACCTGGGGATTCTTTGAGGTAATAATCCATTTAAAGCACTTAGAACTATGTGTAGCCAACAGTAGATTCTCAGCAAATGCTGGTACAGTCCCTGTGCCACCTGATGACAGCCCCTTTAGGTTTCCCCAAGGCCCTTCGATCAGTTACTCCGGGGTGAGAGAAGCCATGATACAAGCAGCTAACTGGGACATGGACAAAGAGAATTTGTCAACAGAATTCTCTTCTTTCTGGCGATTTCTGAAGATGCTCAGAAGATCTGTGGCAGCAGTTGATCAGGAGACCATCCAGTAAGCACTGAAGATCTAATGATAAGGGTCCTTCCCTTCATCAGATGCTGGTGATTGTGCCACACAGAGGTGTGGTACTAGGACCTGCAGACAGACTCAGACTCACTCCATGTGAACTCCAGCAACAGGGTAGCACCTTGAAAGGCACCAGTCAAGGAACTGCAGTGTCTGCCATCAAGGTGAACAGAGGCCATTGTCCCTTTTCTAAACCCTCCCCCCACAGAGCCACAGAACCAACAAGCTTGTGCCATATCTGACACTCCATCAATCTGAAGAGCGACTCTTAAAAGCAGCAAGAGAAAAGAAGTTAGTTACCTACAGGGCCATCTTCGTAAGACTGTCAGCTGATTTCTCAGAAGAAACTTTGCAGGCTAGAAGAGATTGGCAATATTCAGTCACGGAAAGCAGGGATCTATAGCCAAGACTGTTCTACCCGGTAAAGCTACCCTTTAGAATCAGAGGGCACATAAAGAGCTTTGTAGACAAGAGAAAATAAAATAGTTTATCATCACCAAACCATTATTACATGAAATGTTAAAGGGACTTATTTAAGAAAAAGAAGATCAAAACTAAGAACAATAAAATGGCAATAAATACAAACTTATCAACAATTGAATCTGAAAAACAAACTAAGCAAACAAGAAGAATAGAGACAATCATGGATACAGAGGATATTCTGATGATTGACAGATGGGAAGGTGGTTTTAGAGAATGGGTGAAGAGGTGAGGGGGTTAAGAAGTATAAATAGGTAGTTACAGAATAGCCAGGGGGATGTAAAGTACAGTATAGGAAGTAGAGTAGCCAGGGAACTTATACACATGACCCATGGACATGAACTTAGGTGTAGGGATTATATGAGGGAGTGGGGAGAGCTAGGTGGAGGGAGGCCAAGGAGGAAAAATGGAAACAACTGTAATAGCATAATCAATAAAATATAACTTAAGGGTGACAAAAGGAATCACATGTTAATGAATCAGTTTTATTACAAAAATAAAATTTTATGAAATCAGAAAGTTACATGGAAATAAATGAAAATGAACACACAAGAACTCAATATCTATGGGACACAGTGAAAGCAGTCCTTAGGGGAAAGTTCCTAGCATAACAGGCCTACCTAAAGAAGCAAGACAGAGAGACTAAAAAAGAAAAAAGAAGAAGAAGAAGATCAATAAAACGAAGAGCTGGTTCTTTGAAAAGATAAAAAGAAGTGTGATGAACCTTTAACCAGAGTTATGAGGAAAAAGAGAAGACCCAAATGAATAAAATTAGAAACAAAAGAGAAGTAGCAACTGACATTATAGAAATACAAAGGATTATAAGAAAATACTGTGAACAACTGTATGCCAACAAATTGGACAACCTGGGAGAAATAGACAAATTCCTAGAAATATATTATCTTTCAAAACTGAATCAGGAAGAAGAATCAGAAAACATGAAAGGACTGATTACAACTAATGAAATCAAAGCGTTAATCAAAAAACTCCCAACCCACCAAAGTCCTAGGCCGGATGGCTTCATAGGCAAACTTATGTCAAATATTCAAAGAACTAACACCCCTCCTTCTTAAACAATTCCAAAAAATTTAAGAAGAGGGAAGACTGCCAAGCTCTTTTCATGAGGCCAGCATCACCCTAATTCCAAAACCACATGAAGACACTACAAAGAAAGAAAACTACAGGCCAATATCTCTGATGAACAGACACTAAAATCCTCAACAAAATACAAGCAAACTGGATCCAACAATACATTAAAAAGATCACTTATCAGTATCAAGTGGGATTTATTCTGGGGATGTAAGGTTGGTATAACATTCGCAAATCAATGAATGTGATACATCACACAAAATGAAGTACAAAAATCATGTCAGTAGATGCAGATGATCACATCAATAGATGCAGAAAAAAGCATTTGATAAAATCCGGCACCCATGTGTCATAAAAACCCTCAGTAAAGTGGGATTAGAGGGAACACACCTCGACATAATAAAGGCCATATACGGCAAACCGACAGCTAACACCATACTCAATGGGCAAAAACCGAAAGCATTTCCGTTAAGATTCGGAACAAAACAGGGATGCCCGCTGCTTTCACCTCTCTTATTCAACATAGTGTTGGAAACTACTTCTTTCTTAACATATTAACACAGAAAAACAAGTGTCTCAATTCTTAGATGCCTCTTCACAAAGAATAAATCAACAGAAAAATCTATTAGTAAGAAGAGAAGAAAAAAGACACACCATGCTATCCCACATGAAGATAATAGTAAATGTACTTACTAAAGAACAATTTCTCTTTTCCTGTGTTAAAAATCAAAGTATGAGATGTTCAAATTGCTCAATTTTCAACAGACAGCACTGCTCCGTTTCAACTGCCTCTTACTGGATGGTTTCTCATCAGAGTGCGGTAGCTTTGAGGAAGTTCCCCCAGCTAAGTCAGCTTCTGAAGAGGGTGTGGCTTGAGCAAACCCCCGCAAGGTCTATAGGAGAGCAGTGTCCTTCTGGGGAGAGGGAAGACAGTAGTTGGAGGGGCAGGCTGCTCCATCGACTGTTTGGCAGTAGACACTGAGCTTTAGGAGACGCCTGTTTCCGTGCTGGTCCCAAGTTTTGTTTTAGCACTCAGAGTTTTCCCTCTACAGACCCTGTCAAGCCACTTGGGCAGTGGGCCTCTGCCTCAGGTGTAGTGGACACCTTCTGGAGAGTGCTCAGCTTGCAAGGCAACTGTTGATCGCACGCCCACCTCTCCATCCCACAACTGCCTTACAGTGGACTCCCGGCAGCCATGTTGGGCAGTGTATCCCTAACCATAGTTGAGCAGCGCCCCTCCAGGGAGCACAACGATAGAACCACGGAGTCGGGTGAGGAAAATTTAGTTCCCTCCACCCCATTTTCAGCCAGCGTGCTAACTAATGCTGTGCCTTTTCTATAAAATTCTGTGGGTGAGTAGCTGACCCATGCTGGTCCAGCTGACCTGTTTTGCTCATGCAGAACCTGACAGCACCTCGCCTGGGCCTGCACCTTTCTGTCTGCTGTTGGCTGGGGCAAGGGCAGGAGCCTTTTTCTTGTCTGGCAGTGGCCTACCCTTGGAAGTTGTGCGCTCAAGCCTGTATAGCCTGGAAATATGGCAAGTTAATGCCTGTGGGGCTACTTTTGACCAAATGGGGCTGGAAGCTAATGCTTCCCCTTTCGTTGCCCAGGTGACCTCCAAGAGACATTATCAAAACTCACCGAACAACACATCAAGTGAGTGCATTTCACTGCATTTAAATTGCATCTCAATTAAAAAAGCAAATTCTCAGACCAAGTCTGGGTTATTACAGCCAGAAAGAATAGGCATATAAAATCAATTTTTTTGGATAGGTATATAGAATATTAATGATAATGGAAAAATACAATGTAATAAAAATTGCCGAGTTGCTCAAAACTCATCTCGAGGCTGAGCCACAGACATCCTGGAACAACTGTCACATGGGCCTATATGCACTTGACCTCTTTGGAGTGTTGGCTCTCCTCATTTGCATATTGGAACTAACCAACCCTGGTTAGCCTGGCTAGAAATCCTTCATCTGTATGAAAAATTACATTTTGTGGTTTTTGCCTTGGTAAAATCTGCCTTTCTTTGATCATTCTTTGAGTGATTATGATCATTCTTTGGGTGGCTCCTTGGTTCCTGTCTTTCTCTTTTGCCAGAACCTTCTGGTGAACACATATATGTTGATTCTATTCTTTTATAAAATGACAGTATTAACTTATTCAGACAAAATTACTCTTAGTTTTTCCTTGCTTTTATTTACTAGCAGGGTGAAAAAATAATATTCTGTTGCCAAATAAATTACAAGAGTTAAAATTAATTTTAACGACCACACTAAGAAGTACAAATATTGTCCTCTTTTATAGATAATGAGCCCAGAAAGGTGAAAAAGGCCGAGCATTTGGCCACAGAGCTACGTGTGGAGAAAAACCGAGGTATGGGCTTGGAGCCCATGTGAATCACTGACAGAAACAGCCGGCTCCCAGAGTCGCTTCTCGGCGCCCCCCCCCGCGCCCCCCCCCACCCGGGTCAAGTGGCGATGATGCAGGAGGCCCGGTCGCCGCAGCTCGGGCGCAGAGGGCCGCCGCTGGGCCAGAAAGCCGATTATGAAGGCGGTCCCGCTGACTCCGAAGTTGGCCAAGCGGAAGGCACACGACCTCTTTCACGGTCCTTGAAACTGGGCGCGGTCCCCGGCCCGGCGACGCAGCTCCGCCCCCGTCGTCGCGCCGATCTGGGCTCCCGCCGAATCCCGCTGGAGCCCTCCGCCGCCGGGTGGGACCGGGCGTCTTCCCGCACGTGAACTCCGCGCGCCTGGCCCGCCGGTGCGCCACCGGCTGCGCTCCCCGCCACCAGGTACTCGGACGCCGGCCCTCCCCCGCACGCCCCTTTCCCGGCAGCGACCGGGTCCCGCCCGCTCCCTTCCCCGCCTCACCCCGCCTCGCCCCGGCCCCCGGCCCCGGCGGCGGAGCGGGTTCTCCCCGGCTCCCTGGGGACCAGGTGCGCCCCCGCGCGGCGTCCCCTGCGGCGGCCGGATGCCCCCCACCCACATCCCTCCTCCGCCGGACGCCCCTCGGCGGAGAAGCAGAAGTCTGCCGGGAAGCGACTGACCAACCTTAGTTTTGACTTTATACTTCGGGTTGAAAATGTCAACTGTAAAAGTTCAGAGGAATTTAAGGTTTAACAGCGTTCTGAAAGTGAGACGCTAGAGCATTATGTATGAAAAAGGATTTTCCAACGGAAAGAGATGGTCATTGTCCCCCGCCTGCGACTCACAAAACAAATACTCGGTGGAGCCAGAAGGAATTACAGAAAGGAAACTGAGGACATTGGGAGAGAGGGTACAGAGGGACTAAAAGTTGGTCCTCCGAAGCTCTTAGCACAGGGCATAAGCCCCCTTCCTCCTCCATTTTCCAATGAAAAGTTCAGAAAATTGAGGTCCAGGGTGGGAGGCTTGTCCACAATCACACAACTGGTTCTTGGCAGAGTCAGGTCTAGTAGCCCAGAACTCCAGTTCCTAGGCGTCATCTCTAAGTAATAAAGCACGTAAAGAATGTTTTACAAATACCCTTTCTGAGCTAAGAATTTCAGCGCTATCAGTATTGGCATGCTCAATCTTCGAGTGCTCTTCTTTCTCCAGGTGCTTGCCAGCCTGCATTTCCAGACCGAAAGCAGTGCAGCTGGGGAAGGACTACTGGAAGCTCTAAACCCTGAGTCATTAGAGTTCAGGCAAGTGGGAGGGAGGACTGGCATCTTGGGTGTTCAAAGAGCTTGAGATGAGGGGACAGGGTGCTAGTCTGCTGGCCTATGCAAGTGGAGGGAGTGGGTCCAGTAAGGGGCAGACAGGAGCGCTTTGAACTCCAGTGCTACAGGCAGTAGGTACAGTGGAGAACTGGAAAGTCACCTGCGGGAAAACCAGCCCTTTACCAGAATTAGATTCGTGGAGGTTATATTAGCTGAGATCCTAGGACTCTAGAAGTTAATCATTTAGAAGAAAAACAAAATTTAAATATTGCTGTTGAAAGGAAGGTTGTTAGGACAAGATATTCTGGTTCATAAATAGAAAAGTCTTTCCCCAGGGTGAGTATGAGCAATAAAAATAGTGCTTCACAGACATTAATGTATTTACTCCTCATGACAAACCCAGGAGATTGTTACTACAAGGATATTCTGGTCACAGTTTTAGAGGTGTCGAGGCGGAGGCACAAAGGGGTTGCCCCAGTAAGTGAGTAGGCTTGTGCTGGGGTGAGTGGCCCGAAAGCAGAAGATTCTGGTCCCAGTGCCTCCGCTCGCTGGTTGTGTGAATTTACCCTCTCTGGGCCCCAATTTTCTTATCTGTGAACTGCATGCTGTAATCCCCGCCTAGTTACGAGACAGAGAATGTGCAGGTGCCTTGTGAACTGTGCATTGTAATGGAAAGTCCTAATTAAGTGAAGGAGGGATGCACTTCCAAGGCAAATCCCAACTAAAAAGGAAATGATAAGCTTGGTTGGATTTGCAGAGTATAAATGGGCTTACCACTTGCAGAGAGGCAAAGATGAAGTGGTAGTTCAAAGTGTGGACTTTGAAGTCAGACGGACTCTTAGCTTTGCTGCTTAGCTCTATGACCTAAGACAAGTCACTTAGCATTTCTGAAACTGAATTATCTCTGTAACTCTCATTTCACTCATTCGTAAAATGGGCCTAATACTACATTCCTTATAGAACAGTTGGGAGGATTAAACGAGGCACAGTTGATAAAGTGCTTATGAGTAGTGCTCAATAAAATGTAGATAAAGCTATTTTTTCCAGATTCTTCTTTCTCCTCATCCTCTGTGTATCTTAATTTCCCCCCAGAGACAGCCTCACCATGTGTGGGGGACTAATTGAGAGGTATGTGGCTGCCATGGTGCTGAGTGCAACTGGAGATGCCTTGGGGTACTTCAACGGGAAGTGGGAGTTCCTCTGCAATGGGGAGAAGATTCACCAGCAGCTGGCCAAGCTTGGTGGCTTGGATGCCATAGATGTGGAGGGGTGGCGAGTCAGTGATGACACGGTGATGCACCTGGCTACGGCAGAAGCTCTTGTAGAAGCTGGAAAAGTCTCAGAGTTTGATCGACTGTATTCCCTTCTTGCTAAGCATTACCAAGACTGCATGGAAGACATGGATGGCCGGGCACCAGGTGAGGGCAGCCAGTGGGTGTTCTGCACAAGTGGAGAATAAAACAGGGTTCATTGATACCTCAGTTGGAGTGTCGCTCTGTAACCGAAGGGTTGTGGGTTCGATTCTCAGTCAGCGCACATACCTAGGTTCCTGGTTCAGTCCCTCGTCCAAATGCACAGTCCCTGTTTTAGGCATGTGTGGCACAGTTGTGTATGGAAGGTAGCCAATCCATGTTTCTCTCTCCTATTAATGTTTCTATCTTCTTTTCTCTCTATTCCACTTTCTCTAAAAAGCAATGAAAAAAATGTCCTTGGGTGAGGCTAAAAATAATAGTGATTGAGATTTATATATCAAGGGGACAGTAGTTTTTATAGTTGTGATAAAAATAGGAACAGCCTAAATGTCCCATAATTTATTCAATTATGGTGATAATTTTTAGCCACTTAAAATTGTATAGATAAATACTGATATAGAAAGATACTACACATTGAGTGAAAGATAAGTGGGTTGCAAGATAGGATGTATCTTGTGAATTCACTGTTATTAAAGGATGCGTGTGTATCTGTTGGGACAAGTCTGGAAGAATATACACAAAGATGTTCATATTTATATCTGGGTAAAGGGAGTATTTATAGTTTCTTATTTTTTTTTTGCTTATCTGTATTTTCTAAGTTTTCTGTAATGAACTAGTATAAAGAAACATTTTTTTTCATTTTCAAGAGGAACGGAAAGTGTCTTGTACAGACTTCTTTTCTGTTCCCGGGTATGTTCACAGCGGTCCTTGTCCACTTTGGGAAATGGTTACAGCCACTTGGACGACCAGGTGGTTTGAATCACCTCTTGCCTAGTTCATCTCACTTGCCTCTCCTCCTCTGCCAGTGTGAGCTGCCAGAACAAAATGCCACAGACTGGTGGCTTAATGAACATTTATTTTCACACTGTCTAGGGGGCTAGAAGTCTGAGATCAAGGTGTCGACAGGTTTGGTTTCTCCTGAAGCCTTTCTCTTTGGCTTACAGACCACAGCCTTATATCTGTGTCCTCTCACGGTGCACATCCCTGGCGTCTCTGTGTGTCCAAGTTTCTTCCTTTAAGGATACCCATCAGACTGCTTCAGGACCCGCTCCGACATTCTCCTTTTAACTCCATCACCTCTTTACAGGCCCAGTCTCTAAATACAGTCACATTCTGAGATACTAGGAGTTAGGGCTTCAACATGGGAATTTTAGGGGACACAATTCAGCTTATGAGCTGATGAAAAGCACCTCCTGATAAAAACTGCCACCCCCCCAGACACCTAGGGTCTCTGGTGACCCCAAGGATGGGCCTTAGAAATTGGTCTGTTCATTCTTTCTACATATCTGATATGTCATCAGTTTGACAAGTAGAAAGCTTCCTTTGTTCACTTATGCCTTCTGTGGCCTTGTTGTGCATAGACTGACCATAGGGAACAATAATACTACACCCCCTGGTATGTTACTGCTGCTGCTTGGTGCAGGTGTGCATTTGCAGTTCCTAGTAGGATGGGGTGTTGGGAGAAGCCTGATTATACCATTCTCGCATGGGGTGTGGGCGGACCAAGGGCACCCAAGGGCAAGCCGTGGCACTGAACCCATTGCTCCATCTCTGAGCCTAGCGCTCTTCACTTCAGAACTATGTCCACAACTTTCTGACATTTGGGAATTCCAGTTATGATGTTCTCATTGGGTTATTTTATAGCTTGGGCTTGGAGCATGATGGTTTTGATGGGGCCACTAATAAGCTGATTATGTGATTTTGAGAAGATTCTTAAGCTCTGAGCCTTAGCTTATTCATTCATTATGATGTCTCAGTAATAAGTCTTTTCATGCCAAGAGTTATATATAAAGTAAGGCACAGTATTGGCTTGGAGTTGGGAGTTTGAGGGCATTTGTCATCATATTTTTTTGGCTTTCCCTTTCCATTGAAGAAACTTGGAAACAGAACTTGGTTCTTCCTTCCTGCTGCAGCCTCTTCTTGCATCACACTGACCCTGTGCCTAACTCCGCTCTTCCCCAGGCGGTGCCTCGGTGCAGAATGCCATGCAGCTGAAGCCGGACCAAGCCAATGGCTGGAGGATTCCCTTTAACAATCATGAGGGAGGCTGCGGGGCTGCCATGCGAGCCATGTGCATTGGTCTTAGGTTCCCTCACCTTGGCCAGTTGGACACACTGATCCAGGTCAGCATTGAGAGTGGCCGAATGACCCACCACCACCCCACTGGCTACCTGGGAGCTCTTGTGTCTGCTCTTTTTACAGCCTACGCTGTGAATGGCAAGCCTCCCCAGCAATGGGGAAAAGGACTGATGGAGGTGCTACCAGAAGCTAAAAAGTACATTGTCCAATCAGGCTACTTTGTGGAGCAGAATCTTCAACACTGGTAAGTTCATAGGTGCATGCTCTGGCCAGGAAATGGTTGAGTCTGTGCGCTCCCATGCTGGCCTGTGCATGCCTAGAATTCCCAGATCATAGCAGCCGTTGTGGTTCTCACCATCCAGTTTTGTCATCCATGGCATCCAGCCCCTCCCTGCCCACCTGCCAAGGATTTCAAATTCAGTTCTAGCAGCAGCTGCCACCTGGCAGCCAAGTGAAGACCGCAGCGAGTAGTGCAGCTGCGGTGGTGCTTCCCTTGTGTATAGAGGTCCTGTTCCGTATTCCAACTTACTACGGTTTTTATGGCTAACCTGTACCGAGATGAACTTTCCTGTTTATCTCTTGGAACCTGTTTTTCAGTGGTGTCTTGACACACAATATTTTTAAATCCTTGCCTAGAATGCCCGAGAAATAGTTTTTCTACTAGCTAATTAGTAGGTGGAAAAACCACATCTTCCCCTTTTTCTGAGTTTACTGCACGTTGCCTTTCTTGGAATAAAAAGGTCCAGAGGCTTTCTGCTGAAATCACACACGGTCATGATATTCCAAAAGTCCTCTTTTGAAAAAAAAAAACAACAAAACACAACAACCTCTATAAGGTGATGATGTGTTAATTAGTTTGTGTAATTAAAATTTCAAATGTATGTCTATGTATATCAAATCTTTGTATACCTTAAATATATGCAGTTTTTATTAAGAAAATAAAATATAGTCCTGGCTGGTGTATAGCTCAGTGGACTGAGTGCCAAACTGAGAACGGAAATGTTGCCTGTTCAATTCCCCCTCAGGGCCAGGGTTGTGGGCCAATCTCAGCTGGGGACATGCGTGAGGCCACTGATGGCTCAGTGTTTCTCACATAAGTGTTTCCCTCCCTCTCTTTCTCCCTCCTGTCCCCTCTCTCTAAGAATAAATAAAATGGCAAAGGCATCATTAAAATCAATTATTTAAAAAAAGAAAAATGTGTAAGAACGGACTAAATAAATAAAGTTTCTCCCTTGATAGGTGATATTTAACACCATTCTCAACTCAGGAAAAACAGACCTTTACTTCTCCCCTTTAACTTGCGATATATCTTTTTAATTTAGCAACAGGTATCTGTGCCTTGTTTCTATCTATTCTTCACAAAAACGTATTGAATCACTGTTACTTAGTTAGAGCTCATTTTGATTTTTACACCATTTTTGAGTTAATACAAGAGGTTGAAGTCATCTTGGAATTTTCCCTAGAAAATATAGATATTACAGGTATCTATAGATTATATTTCTATAGCTAGAAATATCTATAGATTATATTTCCATAGAATATTATATTTCCATAGAAATATCTATAGATAGATATTTCTAGTTTTCCCTAGAAAACTAGATAGATATTCACACATCTATCTAGTACCTTTTCTTACAGTTATCAACTTTATTTTTTCAATTGACTGTAGCTTTTTTTTTTCTTCCTACAGGTCCTATTTCCAAGACCAGTGGGAAAAGTACCTAAAACTCAGAGGGATTTTGGATGGCAAATCAGCCCCTACCTTCCCCAAGCCCTATGATGTGAAGGAGAGGGATCAGTTCTACACCTCGGTGAGCTACTCTGGCTGGGGCGGCAGCAGTGGACACGATGCCCCCATGATTGCCTACGATGCCATCCTGGCTGCAGGAAACTCCTGGAAGGAACTTGCCCACCGAGCCTTTTTCCATGGCGGAGACAGTGATTCCACAGCAGCCATTGCCGGCTGCTGGTGGGGAGTTATGTATGGTTTTACAGGAGTGAGTCCCTCCAACTATGAGAAACTAGAATACAGAAAACGGCTGGAAGAAATAGCTAGGGCTTTACATTCTCTTGGGTCAAAGGAAGACTCTGTAATTGCCCTTTAGGGAAATACGATGTTCATTTCTGGTGGTTTCTTTTCTTTATTGTTCCTTTGCTGCTCAGTTTCTTTTCACTTTTTACAAAGTCAAGAGTCTTTGTTTTTTTCAATTTATTCATAATTTTTTTCTTTATGAACTAATGACTTTCATAAAATCTACTTAGCAAAACGTGTTACTTATTTTTTGCAAGCAAAAGATCATTTTTATTTTTTATTTTATTTTAGTTTACTTTCTGTCATTTTTTTTATTGTTCGAATATGGTTGACTCCATTTTCCCACCACCACGTTCCCCTACCTCCCACCCTCCATCCTACCCGCCTTTGGCTTTGTCCGCGGATCATTTATACATGTTCCTTGACAACCCTTTCCCTTCTTCCCCTGTTATTGTCTTCCCTCTGCCCCTCTGGTTACTGTCAGTTTGTTTTTTATTTCCATGTGTCTGGTTATATTTTGCTTGCTTGTTTGTTCTGTTGATTAGGTTCCACTTAAAAGTGAGAGCATAAGGTACTTGTCTTTTACCACCTGGCTCATTTCACTTAGCTTAATGCTAGTCAGTTCCATCCGTGCTGTCACAAAGGGTAGGAGCTCCTTCTTTCTTTCTGCTGCATAGAATTCCATTGTGTAAATGTACCACAGTGTTTTGGTCCATTCATTTACTGATGGGCACTTAGACTGCTTCCAGCACTTGGCTATTGTAGATTGTGCTGCCATAAACATTGGGGCCCATAGGTTCTTTTGAATTGGTGATTCAGGATTCTTAGGTGACCTAGCAGTGGAATCACTGGGTCAAAAGGCAGTTCCATTTTTAGTTTTTTGAGGAAATTCCGTGCTGTTTTAACTTTGTACTCAGGAAATTTTGAGATAAGTCCCTTGGGCACATGAAAATCTTCTCGGGCTCCTTTTGTTCTTCCTAAATCTGTCTTCCTTTCCTGAAAAGTCTTTATCTCAGTTGATGGGGTTAGCATCTCCCAAGCTAGAAATCTCATAGCCTTCTACTTGAGTCTTTATTTTCATCAGCTAATCTCTCACTAAACTTTTTCTGTTGTTTTAGGTTGGGTTCCCCCAGAAGTGGACTCTGAGACAAAGATTTGAGTACAAGTCGTTTATTTGAAAGGTGATTCCAGGGAGCACTGGTAGGACCATGGGGAAGTGAGACAGAGAAGGGAGGGGAGACAGTATGAGCAGGTTATCACTATCAACAAGTGAAACTCAGTCCATTTGGCTTCTCTTTGTAAGACATTCCTCACAGTGGTCCCACCTGAGGTACCAGCAAACCTGGGTTTGCTTATTTGTCCACCGACTTCCATCTGACATTGTTTGTCCTCACTGCTGAGTTCCTGGTGCTTCTTAGCCTGCCTCTTACGCAAGCCAAACACCAATGTCTCAGGTAAAGATCAGAGATGCTTGCAGTGGCAAGCTGTAAGGTGCATGGGAACAGCAAGCGTTATATGTAGGATCCTAACAGAATCTGCTAAATGGTTCTGTCTTCTTAATATCCTTTAAACCTACCACCTCTTTTACCTTCTTGCACCAAGTATTTTTCACTTGGATTTCTGAAATCCAGGCCACTCAAGTATGGGGAGATTCTGCTTCTGGCTGTTGTTTGAATTTCCTGGGCATGGCGCTTAAGATGTTATTAGTTTGTTGTTGCCTATTTACTTGCTTTATTCTCTAGAAAGAACTTAGCACACAGAAATATGTAGTCAATATATTTTAAATGAGCATTGTTAATTAGCCTCCTATCTCCAGTCTTGCTTTCTTCATTACCCGGCTTTACAAATAACAAATTGGTCATGCTGAACTTCGAAACGTGTTCAATGACTACATCATCCCCTCTCTTAATTTCCTGATGCTCTTCCCTCTCCTCTTTTACTTGGCAAGTTCATACTCATCCTTCATGCCTCAGCTCGGGTAGACCCTCCTAGGTGAAACCTGCTCTGGTTATTCAGGCACATGGCAGCTTTCTCTTTGCCTCATGCACAGCCTTCTGTCCCTAGCTTCATCACATTGATTCTGTTGTGTGGCAATTGTCTTCTAGGGCAACTTCAGGGCTCCTTATGAGGGATGTGTCTTACTGTCTTTGTGGCCTCTCTGCCTGGCCCCTGAGAGACATTCAACAAATGTTTAGCCTAGAAGTTTGAGATTTGTTGATGTGAATGTGTTCTACATGCACATCTAGCCGTTTCCTGTGCCTTCTGCTTCACGGTTGCCAGGAGTGACCTGGCCAAGATACACTGAGAGAGACTGAGAGATCGATGCTTTAATCATGCCTATACACTGGCATAAATGGGACAAGGCTCTCAGGTATGTATTTGAAGCAGGATTCTAGCAAAGGCTTGGGATTTCTCATTTTTTTATACATAAAGGGAGAGAGAAATCCTGAAGCTCTTTTTCTGGCTCAAAAAACTCTCACATGTATTTATATATTTCAGAAAAAAAGATGTGTTTTAAGTATTACAAGAAGGACAGCAGGTGCTTCAGCCGGACAAACCAATCAGAATTACAGACTTTTAGGGATGGTGGGTTGCAATTCACAGGACATAGTAATAATAATCTTTCAAAATTCAGGTGTCTTAAAAGACTCTTTTGCATAAATATTTTGAGGACAGTTTTAGAGTAATAGAAAAAAGTATATACATTTTTACATAAGATTCCCGAGCAGACAATTAAGATGGAGACTCTTGGGTCTATTTTCAGTTTCCCACTTGATTAAAGCTGACTTCGTAATGCAGAATACTGTGTGTTTACCTGTAGCTGTAGAAGAGAAAGCATTTTCTTGAGTGTGCGACTTGTTAAGGTGATAGGATGGTGGTGCTTTGACGTGGTCTGAAAGTGTCTACTGCCGGTGCTGGCTCTATGTCCTCCTGGGAGGTACAGGCCAAGGTCAACCGCTGCTTACGTTCTGCCTGGGACCTCCCAGCATGAGCTACAGAACTATCTGCTGATGGCCACTACTTGTGCTGGGCTTAGGGGTGCCCAGGAGAGGCCAAGCAGTGAACCAAGGCCAGCTACCACTAGTGCTAAGCCTGGGGCCACTTAGCAAAGGGTCCAGGGCATGCTGAGGACACATGCTGCTTGTTTGAGAGATTTTAGGAAAGTCTGAGGCGTGAACCAAGAATATTTGCACGGAAAAGCCACTGGAACAGCATATTGGGTGGCATGGGGCCTTAGGGACTCACCAGGGGTAGGGAAACAGTGTGAGAGACTCAGACATGGCGCCTGCCCACTATCTCTGTGGAGAAGGGGCTCAGCAAAGAAACTGTGGACAAAAAGGGGCTACATGCTAAGCCTGACAAGCTTAGGGGAGGCCTACATTGCTGCCTTACAAACTCAGGGACCTAAAGTCAGCACATGGGGTGGTCTGAAATTAAAAAGTTTCTAACTAAAAGCAGGTCATGACAGTTAGTCATGTCATAGGCTAGAATCTTCCCTAACAAAAGTCAGTCTGTACCTTAACTGAGCCTGTCTGCTGTGTTTTTGCATCTGTGATAACATACCGCTGAAATGTGAAGTTTCCTTTTTTTCTTCTTTTTTATTGTTGTTCAAGTACAGTTGTCTCCATTTTCCCACCACTTTTCCCCGTCCCACCCACCCTTACCTCCCACCCTCAATCCCACCCACTTTTGGCTTTATCCATGGGTCCCTTGTACGTGTTCCTTGACGACCCTTTTCCTTTTTTGTATTATCCCCTTCCCGCTCCCCCTGGTTACTGTCAGTTTGTTCTTTATTTCAATGTCTCTGGTTATATTTTGCTCCATTCTTTGTTTTGTTGGTTAGGTCCCACTTATAGGTGAGATCATATGGTATTTGCCTTTCACCACCTGGCTTATTTCACATAATGCTCTCTAGTTCCATCCATGCTTGTCACAAAGGGTAGGAACTCCTTTCTTTCTGCTGCATAGTATTTCGTCGTGTAAATGTACCACAGTTTTTTGATCCATTCATTTACTGATGGGCACTTAGGTTATTTCCAGCACTTGGCTATTGTAAATTGTGCTGCTGTGAACACTGGGGTTCAAATTTTCTTTTTCCAGATTCCTCAAAGCACAGATACCTCACCACGGGTAGACCATAGATCCTCTCACTGTTACTGGTATAATGTTAATTATTGAGTGTTAATGATCCTGTACTTACCTATGTAAAAGAAATATGTGTCTATCATTTTACTTTTTATCCAATTCCTGATGTTTCCCCATTTTGCTTTTTCCCACCTCCCTAATCTATCCCCAGTGGATTTCATGTAACCCACTTATGTCTTCTCTTTTGATTGTAATGTATAAAATAGGATGCAAAATTGCCATTTTTCAGAGCATTTTCTCAATCCATTGAGGTTGTTTCCAGTGATTGTCATCAGTTTAGCTCAAATAAACTCATAAAAATTCTTACAGGTTTGTGTATTTCTTATATTGACAGAATAATAGCCTTTGCCAGCACTTCTGTCTGGGAGAAGGCTGCCCCTCCAGCCCTTGCTCCGATGTCAGACTCTTCATTTCTTCCCTGTATGTCCCTGGTGCCTTTCAAGCTGCTCCACTGGAGCTGGGGCTCAGAAGGTGTTAGTCCAAGTAAGTCCATGAGCAGGCCCTTGAGGAGGAACACCTGGGACTCCTGAAGCCCACTGTCTCAGCCACAATCCCTGCTGGTTTTTACAGCCCAAAGTTGTGGGAACTTCTCCTCCTGGCACTGAAACCCTGGGGAGCCTGGCGTGGGGCTTGGACCCCTCTCACCTCCAGGGACCTCTGCAGTGGAGATATCCTCCCACAATTTTTATTCACCACACATGAGTGTGGGTTAAGCCCATTCTGCATTTCCACCTTTCCTCTCAGTCTGATGTGGCTTCTCCTTTCAGGCAGTTCTAAACGATGGTTGTACTGTAGTTTAGTTGTAATTGTGATGTGGTTGTGGTATGGCAAGATGCGAGTACCGCATTTACCTACGCCGCCATCTTAACCGGAAGCCCCTTCTGAGGTTTCTCTGAGCAGGAGTCAGCAAAGCCTGCGTTTGCAAGGTGGAGCATTTGCCCTCTTCTACTAGCACTGACCAAACAGCAGACCTGAGATGCTGAAATTTTACAATATAGAAAAGGGCAGAGAGTATATTTAGCAACTGGAATAGTAGGCACGACCTGTTTTGTAACTGGTTTGGCAAATGGTCTGATAGGAAGCAAAAAAATTGTTTTATTTTTCTCCAGCTATCATCTTCATGCATACTCTCGAAGCTGCTTTTTCTGTTCCTTAGCATTGTCATGGGAGAAACTCCCAGAAACTCAGTTCTTACTGTCACAGTAAAGAACTACACATCAGCAAGCCTACTAGCATGTAAGCAAAGTTTATTAGTGTTAAGTTCTAATGGAAAAGCAACAGCAAGGGCGGCAAGAGTAGGGTGGCCAGAGCCCCAGTGGCCAGCACCTGGGTGGCCCAACCCCCACCCCCAGTGTGGCAAAAAGAGCCAAGAGAGTAAGTCCTTTGTTCTGAGGACTTACGTGATTGACAGGTGAAGGTGGTGCCAGCATCCCCCAGGCAGATGTGGCTTCCCAAATATAGGTATGTTTGGGAGTCTGTTAGCCTGAATCCTTATTTGCTTTAAACACTATTTGTTTATTTTGTATACATGGTAGGAGGCAGACAGTTAACCAAAGTTCTTTAAAGGCTTTTCTTTGGGCACTGTAGTCCCCCTCTACTTCACCCTTCCAGGCCTTGGGATGAATACATAGTCTCAAGGTTCTCCTTTTCCCGGCTAGTGGAGATGATACACACAGATTTTCAAGGGCTTCCCTGCCTCCTACACTATCTTGGTGTTTGAAGTGCCTGGCAAACTTACTGAACCAGGCTCAGGACAACTGGGTCATGGTAACCTTTTGCTTTTAGCCTCCTGTATTAACTTCTAGTTAGATTGCAATGGCAAGGGTCCGATGTTTATTTCCCCTCAGGCCACTCTTTCTACCATAGCAGGGTTAATTAGGGAACTTCTTTAATAACAATGTTAATAAAGAACTTCTGTTATTTATGAATAGAATGACACTCCTCTTTCCTTGTTCAACTAGTAAACTCCAACTCATCCTTCAAGTTAGATTGCAATGGTGAGGCCCTGCCTTTGTTTCCCCTCTGGTCTCTCACTCTACCGTAACAGCATCATCTTGGGTAGATCACACAGTTTTTTGGTTTTGGAGTGAGGGGGAGTATTAGAAACTCAGTCTGGTCCATCCCAGTCCAGTTTATTTTTTCATTTCAGCTTTATTGAGGTATAATTGACATACAAAAATTGTAAGATATTTAGAGTATACATTGTATTGATTGGATGGGTGTGTGCATTGTGAAAGGATTTCCTCCATCTAAGTAATCAACATGCCCATCACCTCACATATTTATCCTTTGTGTGTGTGAGAACATTTACTTAAGTTCTACTCAGCAAATTTCAATTATATAACACACCGTTATCAATTATAGTCACCTTGTTTTAAGTCAGACCCCTATACCTTGTTTATATTATAGCTGAGAGTTTGTACCCTTTTGTGAAGTCCTTCCTATGTCCTCCCCCCCCCCATGGAAATAATCCATGGATTACTTCACTTAGTATGATGTCTTTGAGGTCCATTTGTGTTGAAATGTCAGTATTCCCTTCTTTGTCATGGCGGAATTATACACACACACACACACACACACACACACACACACAACAGATAAATAAAATGTGAGATTATTTTCTTTATCCTTTCACCTGTCTAAAACACTGAGGTTGAGTCCCTATCTGGGCTACTGTGCGTAATGCTGCAGTGAACATGGGAGTGCAGATATGTCTTCAAAATCCTGTTTCCAGTGCCTTTGGATATACCCAGAAGTGGAAATCCCAGTCCTGTTTAATCAATTCTAAAAAGTTGTCCTCTTTTCTCCCCACCACGGTGGGTCCTGGGGCCCAGAGACTTAGAGAACAATGGAGACCTGGATGCCTCTTTAATGCCTCCCCTCCCTCTTCTGGGGCTCCTTGCTCCTCTCCATGTTGCCTTGATTCTGGCCTCATGGGTGGAGGGCTAGTTTGGATGGCTCACAGGGGTCCACTCCCCGTGAGGGAACTCATCCCTCCTGGTCACACCCAATGGTGGGAGTTCAGGCCACCACCTGCCGCTGTCTTTACATTTCTCTCATCCTGCTCACATAGGCCCAGAGGATAGGTCTGGCTGCCCAGCAAACAGCTAACTTGGGAATAGATGCCGCTATCACCTTTATGTGGTCACCCTCAGTCTCAGCTGGCATGCCCTCCCTCCTTTGGCTAGAGGGGTAAGGAAGAGCACCACTGTGGACAAAAAGGGGCCACATACTAACCCCGGACAAGCTCAAGGGAGGCCTGTGGAGTGGTGTTACAAATTCAGAGACAGAAAGTAACCACATAGGATGGTCTGAAATCAAAAGCTTTTTAACTAAAAGCATTTTATGGTGGGCAGTCATATCCTAGGCTACAATCTTTCCTGACCTAAGTCAGCCTTTACCTTAATTGAGCCTGTCTCTTGTCTTTTACATCTGTGATAACATACCTTTGGAACATCAAGGTAACGTCCCTTTTTCCAAACCTCTCAGGTGCAACCACCAGAGGAAAGATCACAAATCCCATCATTGTTATTGTGTTAATAGTTGGTTGATAACTATCCTGGACCCACCTATGTAAAAGAAGTGTGTCTATCATTTTACTTCTTATCCGGTTCCAGAGGGTCCTCAGCCTTTGCTTTCTCCTGCCTCCCTAATCTGTCACCAGTAGATTGCTGTAATCTATGTAAACCCCTTACACCTCCTCTTTTGACTGAAATGTATAAAATAAGGTACAAAACTGCCATTTTTCATGGCATTTTCTCAACTTGTTGAGGTTTTGCTTCCCAGCAATTGTTGTCAGTTTGGCTCTAATAGACTTGCAAAAATCCTTCAAGTTTGGACTGTTCTTATGTTGACACCACCCTCCCTACCCATTCAGGAAGGGAAAGGAAAACGCCCCACACAACCGTGACTCATGAATTTTCTTCCAAATCCATAGTTTTCATCTGGTGGGGGTCGGAGGGAAGGAGGTCTAATCACAGAGCAGTTCTGCTTACCTCTAAATCCTACAGGGATTTGGCTTTCCAAATCCTTCGGTCTTTTCAAAACTTAGTGGGGAATGGGGGCAGGAGGGTCAGGGACTTAGAATTTGTTGTTTTAAGGTGTCAGACTTTAGCCATAATTGGAGACTACAGAGAAAGACTCTTTAGAAATCTTACTGTGTTTGCAGATTCTCACTCTTCATCACAGGCACACTTCAAAAAAATTTAATCATTCAGACTCCATTTTCTCAAACCTTAAAACTTCTTCCCCAAACTCAACTTGTGCCCTTGCTTCCTATTTCTCTGAGAAAAAGAAAGAAGCAGTCAGAATTGCATGTTCCCATCACCACCTCTGCCCATTCACCTGCCCCTGAGCTCATGGCCTCTGGCTTCTTTCCTGACTGTGAGTGCTAGTGTGTGGTACGTGAGTGTGTGGAGGGGAGGAAGGACGGAAAGAGAGAGGAGGAGGGAGGGAGACAAGGTGAGAGGATGAGAATGAACAGGGGAACAGGTAATAAACTTAATTATAAGCACAATGTTACAGAAATCAATAAAAATCTGACACAGAGTATGAATTTATCATGCTTATCAAGTTAATATATATAAAGTGAAAAACAGAACAGGTCATGCGTAACATTATGGAGATTAATATTTTTTGATCTGCTAGGTGATGATGCTTTATTTGCTCTTTGTTACCTGAGATTGCTAGATGTTGTCTAGAAATCTTGGTAATATATATCCTTTTAAGATCTGCAAAATTAACTTTGGCCTCATCCACCCTTCTCCAGGCTTCTTCCACCACCATGTTCTCCATTTAGTCTTTTTTTTTAAATCTCTCTGGGACAAGTAAATGTGCATTTTTTCTTTTAACAGCCACAGAGCTCCTGGGAGGGGGAGGGAAGGAATGGAGACACTGTTGATTTTGCAGCTAACTTGGCCTATGGGGTTAGCGCCTAGAGGGGTGGCTCCTGGGGTCTGGTTAAAGATCCAGGGCTGGTCCAGACATGGCATGGGGGCCAGCCTTGCCATCAATTTTTCATCTTTGGGGTTTGGTGGTTGGGAAACTGACATCCAGAGAGTAGGTGAGATTCTTTCCATTCAGAGAAGGAAAAAGAAGAGGAGGAAGAAGAGTTGTGTGTCCAGCACTTCAGAAGAAATGTCACCAATTGTCCACAGTCACTCAGCTAGGATGAGATGGAGCTGGGATTTAAACCCAGGACTGTACATCTCCAAAGGCTTTTTTCTTTGCACACCCTCTACTACCCTCTAATTAGCTGTAATTTGAAACTTTTCCTTAGACAAAGCCAAAATAAAACCCAGGAGTGA